GGGGGCCCGCCGCTTCCAGCCGCCTGAGGCGCCCGCCTCGTGGCCCGGGGTGCGCAACGCCACCACCCTGCCGCCCGCCTGCCCGCAGAACCTGCACGGGGCGCTGCCCGCCATCATGCTGCCTGTGTGGTTCACCGACAACTTGGAGGCGGCCGCCACCTACGTGCAGAACCAGAGCGAGGACTGCCTGTACCTCAACCTCTACGTGCCCACCGAGGACGGTAAGGGCGCGGGCACAAGGCCGGGCACCACTTGGACACAGCCCACAAACGTGCATGCAGGCCCCAGGCATTGGAAAGGCTCCTGGGCCAGGAGCTGGGCCTTTGTGGGGGCAGTGAGGGACAGTGTGTCCCTAACAGCCTCTGCGTGCCCTCTAAGGATGCTAGCAGTGCCCACCAGGCCAGTCCCAGGAATGTATCCCACAGACAGCCAACGCAGAAGTCCTTGGTGCCCTTAGAGAGCCACGCTAAGGGTAGAAGTCACCAGGCTAGGCTTACCCACCCTCTCTCCAAAGAGACACGTAAGAATCAGCCACCAAATCTCAGTGTGGCCACTGAGGGTGGTCAGGTGATGGAGGCATCCATCACCTGCCCAGATACCCCTTTCAACCTTGCCCCATATCCTGCCTCCAGGCTGGGGCTTGTCCCAGGCAGAATAGCCACTTTAGCTACATCTACACTTCTAGGACAGTGTAGGCTCTTTCTCTCCCCGAGGCTAGCATGGGCAAACCTCCATCTATCATATCACGCCCAAAGCCCCTCACCTGAACCAACCGAATGCCCTTGGTGGTGGTACTCATGGCTTCCTCTTTTTCATGATGGTCTGTCCCCTGACCCCCACACAGCCCTGAGGGGTCAGGGAAACTTCTCGCCAAGGGCCCCTCCACTTAAGGCACAGCTAGCCCATCCCTATCAAAACATCTTCCCTGGGGCTCTCGAGCTGCCTTTCTTGTTAATGAACTCCCGTGCACTGCAAGACTGCTCATATCCGCCAGCACAGTCCCCCTGGGCAGTTCTCATCCACCAACCTTCAGCACACCGAGATTAATCAGAACACCTTCCAGTGGCCCACAACAGAGGGTAATAGATTCCAGCCACCCAACAGACTGTCCTCACAAACAGCCCCGCATTACCCTTCTGACACCCCATCTCACCACTCTGAAACCTGGCAACACCTCCACAGAGACTGTCCACTGCTACAACACCCCCTGCAGGCCATATTTCCAACAAGGAAACACAGGCCTGGTACCCAGGAACTGCTAATTTACCCCCTAGACACCCAATACCCCCACATCATGTACTCGAGTCCCACAATAGACTATGAATCTCAACTACTCAACATTCAGATCATGAACCCAACAACCTATATGCAGACCATGTGCTCTACCACCCGCATACCACCATTCTTCATGCTGTTACCTAGCATCACCCCCAACACTTCTCTGAAATTGTGTGTCCTATCGCCCGCACAGACCCATGTTCCCCAGTATCTCTGGATATAGACCATGTGCCCTCATAAGAACCATACATGAACCTTATACCCCGATAATCCCGCATCTGCACTGTGTGCTCCAGTAGGCCACTCACACATCAGTCTCCAACACCCTCCACACTTTCCAAATATTGTTTATCCCAACTTCTACCTAGAGATGATCTACACCATATCTCAGGTGGTGACAACACACTCAGCAACCTTATGTCCTGCTCCTAGATCAAGTGCTCCAACACCTGGCCCCTGCACTCAGAATACTGTCATGCCAATCACACAACACACACACCTCAACCCACACAGCCATGCCAACACCTCCCATACTGGCAATCCACCTTATATCCCTCATACCAGCCGTGCACCCTAACCTCCTGACTACCCCTCCGCATATAAACCATGCCTCCTAACAACCCCTACACACAATGCACAGAAACATCATCTGCTCTAATCCCATCAAGTTCTGGGCACCCTAATCCCCCATAGACCATTCATCCCAACATACTCCACACATCCTCCCCGATACCTCAGCACTCTCCACCGAGAACCTTCCACTCCACATTCCTCTACCCTCTCATGGGCCACCTATCCCAGCACCCTCCTACCTGTGAGTCAGTCGCCCCAGTACCTCCACACAGACTGTCCCTCTCAACACTACCCATTCGTGGACTCTCCACCCCCACACTTTCATGTAGGCTGTCCACCCCAGTGTCCCCCTCCTGTGGGCTATCTCATCACATCCCCTGGGAAACACTTACCCAACACTAGCCACCAATGGACTGTCCACCCCAACACCTCCAGAGAAATTGTCCACCCCCCACCCCCACACCACCCATGCCCACACCTTCTGTATTTTTAACCATTACTTATTTCAGACCTGCTTGGGGCCTGACACATTCAAGTGATCTCACTGAATCTTCACACCAGCTCTGGGAGGAAGAGGTTGACTCAGGCACAGACACATACACACACACTCTCTCTTCACATTCTCACACGCACGCATGCCCTGCTGACTTCATCCCTTTCCCCATCCTCTCTCAAAGAAGGGCCCTGTTCCCAGTGGGTTCCCATGGAGGTGATCCACGAGAGGGCAGAAGAATGTGGGGCTTGACTCCTAACCCATCAGTTAGGGGAAGCCTTCCAGAGCTAGCCTGGGCCTTGCTGACCCATCCATCCCTACACCGGTCCCCTTGCCTTGGAGGAAAAACCAGTCAGCCTGGGGGAACCCCTTGAGGCCTCTGGGTCCAGCTCTCCCCTGACCAATCCTGTAATCTGAAAGAAGCCTGGAGCCAATCTCTGGGCCCAGTCTGGGGCCTTTCCCCCACACTGGCACACTCTGTGCCTCTCAGCACCTGCTGGTACCTTCAGTGTGTTTTTCCTGTTCCCTGTTTGCGGACTGAACCCCCCAGGTGGGAAGGGGGCTTTTTGGCAGCAGAGAGGGGACTAGCGGGGGCTGTCTTGGGCTGTGGGGGGTGGGCTGGTGGCCCTGGTGGGAAGTCCACTGTTCTGGGGGGAGGAGAGGAGTCATGGGTAAGGGAAGGGGTTGGGGGAAGTGTGAGGGATGAGCTGGAGTGGAGGGCAAGACCTGATGACCCCTTTCCCTGCTTTGCCCACATTGGGGAGATGGGGTGAGAAGCCAGGCCTGTGAGTGCGGATGGAAGAGAAGTGCTGGCGGGTGAGGCTGGGTAGGTGGACCGGCAGCCCTAGCTGACCTACCTGTAGCCTTCCAGTGGGGAGCGGAGGGCTTCCCGGGCTGTGAGCTGTGGGGTGGGCTGCCTGCCGACCCCATCTTGCCCTCTGCCCTCCAGGGTGGTCCAGAGGGAAGCAGAGTCCTTTCTCCTGCAGCCTCTCCTCTCTACAGCCTGGGTGGGGCAGCAGGCAGGCACTGGGCTGGCCCTGAAAGGGGCCTTCGTGAGAGGTGGCCTGGGTGGCAAGCAGGCTTTTGTCTCCCAGGGCTCGGGCGGGCTTCCCCTCCCCTCCCACCCCACCTCTAACACCGTTTCATTTCCAGCAATTAGCAAACACACCGACAAGCCAAATCCTTTCCAGCCAAGTCAATATGGCTTAAGACAGGCCTCAGCCCACTCAGGCATCCCACCCCCCCAAAACCAGCCTTTTCTTTGGGGCATGACTTTTTCTGGGGAGGGGAACAAAATTGGGTTTGTAGAAACGTTTTTCTCTTTTCTTGGTTTCTTTTTCTTGCAAACAAATTTTGCTTTTTTTGGCTTATTTTTTCTGCCTTCCCCACCTTCCCCTTTTCTGCTTTCTCTCCTCCCCTCCCCATCCACCACCTCCCCTGACCCCCATCTTTCCCCACAAAATTGTCCTTTTTTCTCTGTTTTGTGTTCCCGGTCTTAGGTCCGCTCACAAAAAAACGTGACGAGGCGACGCTCAATCCGCCAGACACAGGTAGATTTAAAAATCCCGCTGCTGCATGTGGTTGCTTATGAGAGGACGTTCATGGCCCTGTCCCTAACTAAATGTCCCCACAGCCCTCAAGGCCCCTCAGTCGTTCTCCCAACTAAAAATGAAAAAGAAAAGAAAAGAAAAATTTTTAATAATTGGAAAAAAAATTATGAAAACTTCAAACGAAATTTGAACAATGTTGGACCCGCTAGAATACCTGCAAGAAAACATGCTAAACATGGTGAAAATAAGGTGGAAAAAGAAAAGAAATTGGAATGTCAGGAAAAAAACCAAAGAATTGGATAAAATACTTAGCGTTTGAAAGAAATTTGGACATTTTGAAACTTGTGAAATGTAACATTTGAAAAACAATTTTAATTTGGAGCAAAACAATGTTGGCAAAAAATTTTAAAGTTGACAAATTGATGACACAATTGAAAGATCAGAAACCTGCTACAATTTCCAAAAGCCTGTCAAACACAGAAAATGCAAACATTTGAAGTGATTTAAAGAATTTGGAAATTTTTGCAAACAGGGCCCAATATCTTGAAGTTTCACCACAAAATTTTGAAAAAAAAAAAAATACAAAGAATTTTTTTCTTTTTTTTCTTTTTTTCCAAAATGGATCTTTTTGTTTTTTCTTTTCTTGTTGAATCTGCCCCAAGAGCTTCTTGCTTTTTGGTTGTTGTTTTTTCTTTCTTTCTTTCTTCTTTCTTGATCCTGTTTTTTGTTGGTTTTGAATTCTTGTTGCCCCAGCCCCTCCTCCTGCTCCTTCCCTTTCTGACTCCCCTTGCCCCACACTGGGAGAAGGGTGGGGTGGGGGTGGGAGGACAGCAGAGCACATTTAGGACAGGACCTTGGAGGGAAGGAGATTCCAGCCTGAAGGTGCTAGAAGGTCACTTGAGGTTTGGGAACGAAGTGAAGAACAGGATTTGGGGAGGACACCTGGGAGCTCTGGCTGAAGAAATCAGGAGGACGGAGGTGGTCGAGAAGGTCTGAGAGACAGGAAACAGGAAGCTGTCTGTGGGGGTCAAGGGGAACAGTCTTAGTGACCTGCAGGTCGATCTGGCAGGAAGAAAGTTTCTAGCAGGATGAGGGAGGTGGGCAGAGGTGCTGGGGACCAGGCGTGGAGGCCGAGGCCTGACTTTTGTTTCCTGAGTACCCATGCTAATGAGGGGTTGGTTGCAAGTGTCAAGAAAGGGGAGGACTTGTAGGCCAGGGGTGACCCAAGCCCTGGCCCTGTGGTAGAATCGTGGGGGAGCTGGAGGGGAGGGTACTGTAGTCTTGGGGACCCTGGCCAGCCCTCCCAGACTTCCACCCTCTTCTGGAATTAGTCACCTCTCAGTCCAGTCTGGAGTGTCCCAAGGGCCTACTAAATGTGGCAATAATTAAGAGATCCTTTTGAGACATGGCAAGAGAGAGGTCTAGGCAGAACCCGGGGATCAGGCTGGTTCGTGGGGGTCTAAGACTAGAGAGCTGCACCCTGGCTTCATTAAGCAGGATCTTTCCCACCCTGCCTCCTCCTGCCACAGTAATTAGGCTGGGGGTTGCCATGGTAACTGGGGAGGTGACCTAGAAAGGAATTAGGGCGGGGAGAAGACCAAGCCCCCAGGGACCCTAGGGCCTGGCACCCCCTCACCCACAGACTAGGGTACCATGTGGAACTGAGGCCCAAGGCCTGAGTCAGAGGAAACTCCAGGACCCTCCGAGCATCCCTAGCTGTAGTTCTAGTCTTGGGAGCTCACTCTTCCTAGGAGTAGGAAGGAGATTTGCTGTGTGTATATGGGAATAGGGTTCCCTGAATCCAGCAGATGCCCTGATGAGGGCCAGCTCCCACCCCTGGACTCTGTTAGGCTTCTTGGAAGGACTGCCCATCATTTGGAGAAGTGCTTCAGGCAGTCTGGCAGGGGATGGGGAGGGACCTTCTGCCAGGGCTAACTGGGGAGGGAGGGAGGGGAATCCGGTCTTGCCCCCCAGGGATGGGAGTGACATGCCACCTGAGCTCCAGGCTGGTCCTCAGTAGGCCTGGGAGCTGGGCAGTGCTGCTTTCAATCTGACTGTGTCATTGTCCCCAACTCCCTGGCCCACCTGCCCTCCCCCTCCCCACAGATATCCGGGACTCTGGGAAGAAACCTGTGATGCTGTTTCTCCATGGTGGTTCCTACATGGAAGGCACTGGGAACATGTTCGATGGCTCTGTCCTGGCGGCCTATGGCAATGTCATCGTGGCCACGCTCAACTACCGTCTTGGGGTGCTCGGTGAGGGTGGGCAGCCAATTCTGGGGGGTGGAGTCTGGGAGGCAGGCCTGGTGGGCAGGGTTCCTCCAAACCCAGCAGAAGGGCTTCTGGGCTGGACTGAGCTGCCCAGAAAGGGTACAAGGGTGCTGTGACACCTCCAGGGACCCCCTTTCTTCTTGTACCCCCAGGTTTTCTCAGCACTGGGGACCAGGCTGCAAAAGGCAACTATGGGCTCCTGGACCAGATCCAGGCCCTACGATGGCTCAGTGAAAATATTGCCCACTTTGGGGGTGACCCCGAGCGTATCACCATCTTTGGGTCTGGGGCAGGAGCCTCTTGTGTCAACCTTCTGATCCTCTCCCACCATTCGGAAGGTACCAGCAGCTACCCTGGCCTGCCTGCCCTCACCCTTCCCACAGCCCTGACCCTACCAGCTCCCCCGTCTCCTTTTTACTGATGCTCATAGCTGAGCCTGAGGTCTGCCTGTCCTACCAGGGCTGTTCCAGAAGGCCATTGCCCAGAGTGGTACTGCCATTTCTAGCTGGTCTGTCAACTACCAGCCACTCAAGTACACGCGACTGCTGGCAGCCAAGGTGGGCTGTGACTGGGAGGACAGCACTGAAGCTGTAGAGTGTTTGCGCCGGAAGCCTTCCCGGGAGCTGGTGGACCAGGACGTGCAGCCTGCCCGGTATGGGGGTGGGAGAGGGCCGGGTCCGAGTCTTCACGCTCCCTGCTCATTCCAAGGAGGCTGAGGTGAGAGGGGCCTGCAGGCATTCCATTTGGCAAGGAGAGGTGGGCTTCTCGCCCTCTAGTGGCTTCTTGTTGGGAGCCGGCCCTCAGTGGAGAGGCCTCAACAGAACAGGTGAGCACAGAGTGCCATGAAGTGCTTTAGAAAGACTGGCAGAGAGGCCAAGTGCCCTGAAGGACTCAGAGGAGGTTTTGAAGTAGGGGAGGAGGGTCTTCCAGGCAGAGGGAAGCCCCTGCATGTGGCTTTAGTAGGCCATGGGCTGAGAGGGGGCCAATGAGCAGGTGATGAGACCCGGACTCCTTCTCCCCAGCTACCATATCGCCTTTGGGCCCGTGGTGGACGGCGACGTCGTCCCCGACGATCCTGAGATCCTCATGCAGCAGGGAGAATTCCTCAACTACGATATGCTCATCGGCGTCAACCAGGGAGAGGGCCTCAAGTTCGTGGAGGACTCTGCAGAGAGTGAGGACGGCGTGTCTGCCAGCGCCTTTGACTTCACGGTCTCCAACTTTGTGGACAACTTGTACGGCTACCCGGAGGGCAAGGATGTGCTGCGGGAAACCATCAAGTTCATGTACACGGACTGGGCCGACCGGGACAATGGCGAGATGCGGCGTAAAACCCTGCTGGCGCTCTTTACTGACCACCAGTGGGTGGCACCAGCCGTGGCCACCGCCAAGCTGCACGCCGACTACCAGTCTCCTGTCTACTTTTATACCTTCTACCACCACTGCCAGGCTGAGGGCCGGCCTGAGTGGGCAGATGCGGCACACGGGGATGAGCTGCCCTACGTCTTTGGTGTGCCTATGGTGGGTGCCACCGACCTCTTCCCCTGCAACTTCTCCAAGAATGACGTCATGCTCAGCGCTGTGGTCATGACCTACTGGACCAACTTCGCCAAGACTGGGTGAGGGCCAGAGGGACTGGGTGGGGCTGGGTGCAGCACCCCTTGCAGGCAAAGCTCCTGTCTCCATCCTTGGCTTGTCCTCTCTCTCCCTCCCCACTTTGCACTGCACTTCCATTGTCCCTTCATTAAGACACTCCCTCTTAGGGCCGGCCCATGGCTGACTCAGGACAGTGTGGTGCTGATAACACCAAGGCCATAGGTTCGGATCCCTATATAGGGATGGCTGGTTTGCTCACTTGGGAGAGCATCGTGCTGACAACACCAAGTCAAGGGTTAAGATCCCCTTACCGGTCATCTTTAAAAAAAAAAGAAAAGAAAAAAAAAGACACTCCCTCTTGGCTTCCCTTCCTGCTTGAGTGATACTCAGACACTGCTGGACACCTTCTGTGTACCAGGCACTGAGTTGAGTGCTGGAGATGCAGCAGAGTTAGACAGAGAGGTCCCTGGGCTCACTTGGTGGCTTTGGCCTGGTGTCTGTCTCTCCTTACTCCTGTGCCTCCCACACCCACCCACCCTGTGTCAGGTTTAGTGTCTGTTCCTGTCTCAGTCGCCCTCTTGAAATCCACTGATACCTGTCCCTTTCCTCTGCTCTCTCTGATCTATTTACTTTTTGGTATCTCTGGCCTGCTGGCTGGTTTCACCCTGGCTGTCTCAGTCTCATGGGTCTTTGTCTGTCTATGTCTCACTCAGTCTCAGCTTCTGCCTCTCACTGGCTATCTTTGTCTGTCTCTGTCTCTGACCCTCTGTCCTCATCTCTGGCGTTCTCTGGCTATCTGTCTCCATCCCTATTTGTCTCTCTGTCCCTGCCTCTGGCGGTTTCTCTGGCTTCGTTTCTATCTCAGTCTCTCTTCCTCTGTGACTTTTTCTCTGGCTTTCTTGCCATCTCCGTGTCTCCATCTCTGTCTGTCTCCCTCCCCACTGCTCCCCCACCCTCCTTCGGAGCCTTACCCTCACTCTTTCCCCTGCCCTTCTGTGTCTACAGCGACCCCAACCAGCCAGTGCCGCAAGACACCAAGTTCATCCACACCAAGCCCAACCGCTTTGAGGAGGTGGTGTGGAGCAAGTTCAACAGCAAGGAGAAGCAGTACCTGCACATTGGCTTGAAGCCCCGTGTGCGTGACAACTACCGCGCTAACAAGGTGGCCTTCTGGCTGGAGCTTGTGCCCCACCTGCACAACCTGCACACGGAGCTCTTCACCACCACCACGCGCCTGCCTCCCTACGCCACGCGCTGGCCACCACGCCCGCCCCCTGGCGCCCCAGGCACACGCCGGCCCCCACCGCCTGCCACCCTGCCGCCTGAGCCTGAGCCTGAACCCGGCCCAAGGGCCTATGACCGCTTCCCTGGGGACTCACGGGACTACTCCACGGAGCTAAGTGTCACCGTGGCTGTGGGCGCCTCTCTCCTGTTCCTCAACATCCTGGCCTTTGCTGCCCTCTACTACAAGCGGGACAGGCGGCAGGAGCTGCGGTGCAGGCGGCTTAGCCCACCTGGCGGCTCGGGCTCTGGTGTGCCCGGTGGGGGCCCCCTGCTCCCTGCTGCCGGCCGTGAGCTGCCACCAGAGGAGGAGCTGGTGTCTCTGCAGCTGAAGCGGGGTGGTGGCGTCGGGGCGGACCCTGCTGAGGCCCTGCGTCCTGCCTGCCCGCCTGACTACACCCTGGCCCTGCGCCGGGCACCGGACGATGTGCCTCTCTTGGCCCCTGGGGCCCTGACCCTGCTGCCCAGTGGCCTGGGACCTCCACCACCTCCACCGCCCCCTTCCCTCCATCCCTTTGGGCCCTTTCCCCCACCTCCCCCCACCGCTACCAGCCACAACAACACGCTACCCCACCCCCACTCCACCACTCGGGTATAGGGGGCGGCTTGGGGAGGCCTCCTCCCCAGCCCTCCCCGGCCAGGGCCACTCCGAAGGCAGGGAGGAGGACTTGGCAACAGGCTTTTCTCCTGTGGAGTTGTCACGTGTCATCGAGCAGCGTTAAGGTGGACAGGAGATTCCTCACTGGGACGCGTGTTTTTTCCCATGCAGAGGGGCCCGTTCTCTTCTCTGGACCTGGGCCTTTGAACAACTGGGGGGTGTTTTTTCCCCTCCATTGGGACACCAGTCTTCGGTGTGTGGAAATGTGGAAGTATTTTCCCACGTGGAGGTGTGCTCTCTCACAAGGGGGTGTGTTTTCCCATGTGCAGGGTGAGGTTTTTTTTTACCGCCCTGGACACATGTTGGCCCCCTCAAAGAATTTCTGTGGGGACTTGTACCCCAGAACCCTGTTCCCTCATGCCTTCTCCCACCTCCTCCCCTCTCCCCACCCCCTGGAGACCCTGGAAGTGGTATGGTCACGTGCAGTGACCCCTTGGCCACCAGACAACACAGGATGGTGCCTGGGAAGCAGCAAGGAAATCACAGCCTCCCCTCGTCCCTCCCCCCCCCAAGCGAAGCATGTTTTTTCCTCGTGGAACAAGTCAGATGAAGCACGTTCTCCGGGGAGGCCCTCGCCTTCCACAGAGGACAGACACGGCGTTCCTGCCGGGGAGAAGGGAGGAGATCCGTGCATCCCGGTGCTGCCTGGAAACTTACTTTCCCATGGTCCAGGACACATTTCGCTGAGTGGAAACATATTCTTGCATGTGGATGTGTCTTTTCCCAGACAGAGGGTCCCTCTCCCCCCAGCACTTCCCTGCATCCCCCAGGCCTCAGCCCAGCACTCAGTTCCTCCTCACACAGCAGGTGGGAACAGACTTAAGTCTGACAGAAGCTGAGGGGGATGCCTTGCTTCCCCAGAGATGCTGAGGTGGGGGGTGGGGAGGCACGTGCCACCCACAGAGGCCATGCATGTTTGACCAAAGCCCTCATCTGGGGTCTGAGGACAGCCTTTCCCTCCCTCAGTCCTCAGATCATTGCTCATCTGTGCCAAACTGAGTAGGTGGGTTTGAGGGGGAAATAGCCCCCAAATGTGCCAAGGATTCCCCAGTCCTGGGCCAGGGCAGGGGAAGCTGTGGGAGTAGGTGGGATACAGGGCAGGGGGATGTGGCAGCTAAGGGGGCCCCAACCTGTGTTTCTCTTCTCTCCACACCATGTCACCTCTCCCTCTCTGCCTTAGTTCCCCATTCTCCTCCATCTCTGTCTCCCTCCTTGAAGCTGTCCCCATCTCAGTGTCAGGCCAGCCTTCCTCCCTCAATGGCCGACCTTTCTTCTTTGACCTGCCCCCCTTCCCTTGGCTGCTAGGGTGGAGGGTGGAGGGTGCAGGGAGGCGAGCAGGGAAGAAAGGTTTCACTGGGCAGGTTGGGGAGAGAATGAAGTCAGCTGTTCGGAGGAACAGGTGGAGGGGGCGGTGGGGGACAGGGCTTGGACAGACACCAGCAGGAAGAATTTGAGAGGAAATGTGTGAGATGACTGCCCAGGGGTCCTTGGGCCTGAGCCTCTGGGGAAAACAATGATGTCAGGGAGGGTTTTGAGGGATGCCAGCAGAGGAGAGACTCCTCTGCTGGCATTTTGTGGGATGTCGATGCCAAACTGGAGTAGAGGTGGAGTGCTGTCGTCCACTGACACCCAAATCCAGAATCCCTGGTCTCGAGTCCCCAGAACTTTGCCTCTTGGCTGCCCCTTCTCCTACCTCCATCCCTGGAAACTTAGTTCTTTTCTGACCCTTTCCCCTGCCTGGTCTAGTTCCTCTCCAAACAGCCATGCCCTCCAAATGCTAGAGACCTGGGCCCTAAACCCTGTAGACAGATGACCCCAGAATTGGGGCATGGGAGGGGGGCTGGAGGACCCCATGATTCAGCCACGGACTCTGATGCCCAGCCCCTCTCCCCAGAACAATCCCCTGACAATCCCTACCCCAACCCTTTGCGGCTCTGTACACATTTTTAAACCTGGCGAAAGATGAAGAGAATATTGTAAATATAAAGTTTAACTGTTGATGTGCCTGCTGTGATGCTAGGAGGTGGGAGGGGGCTCTAAAGAAACAAGCCATGGGGAAATGACTGAATGAGAGAAGAGGGGGTCTGAATCCCTGACTCTTCTGTTCAATGAACAGCTCCGAGAGGAAGGAGGAGTGGATGCTGGGGTAAGGTTGCCATGGTAATGGGATTGTTTGAAGAGTTAAGATGAGGACCTGTGTCTGCAGAGACTGGAGCCTTGTGTAGTTCTAGAAGGAGGGGCAGGGGCTGATGGGGGAAGATGCCAACAGGCCAGAGGGCCAGTGGACTGGTCTAGGTGGTTGGCTACAGGAGAGGCATGCAGCATGAAGGATTTGGCTTCTGCCAAGACCTGAGCTCACGCTGGAGAGTCAACCACAGGCCCAAGACTCTGAAAGTAGTTGCTGGACACATTGTGAGGGAGAGCCTCAGCACCATTGTGACACACTCACACCCAGGACCCTCTGGGACAGGCAGGTGGGCTGGTGGACACTGTGGACACAGTGAGCTGGGGGCCTAAGGGCCCCGGTGGCCCAAGGGACCGCCATGGCCATGGCTGAGCGGCCACGGCCCAGTTGGGCCTCGTATCACAACCCCAACACCAACAACTGCCAGGACCTGGGCAACTCCATCCTGTTACTGCTGGGCCTCATCATCTGCATTAACATCAGCATCAACATGGTGACTCTGGTCAGAGCAGGGCCAGGTGGGAGGGTGCTGGTGGGATGGCCAAGGGGCAGGCCTGGTGGCTAGGGCCTGCCTGGGGTCACTGTGTCCTCCCCCACCTAGCTCTGGAGCCGACTCCGTGGCATCTTACACCGAGTATTCCATCATATTGTTTGTGAAAAAGGTAAGCAGGGCTCGGGGTTGGGGCATAGGAGGGGCAGAAACCAGGTGCTCTAGCCCCGACCCTAAGCTGGTCCCTTCCCTTCCTGCTGTCCCCTCTCAGACCCCATAGCTGCGCAGCTTCTTTCCCTGAGCCCTGCCTCTCCATCCCTGTGCGACCCAGCCTCCCCACCAGCCTCTCACCTCTCCCCAATCCACAGAAGCTCCTAAGCCATCCTCACCTGGGAAGCAGACCCAGCCCTCAAAGAAAAAGAGCTCCCCTGCAGTCCATCTTCGATGTACCATGGACCCTGTGAAAATGACTGTGACTCCCCCATCCACTCGCCGCCATCGCCATCAAGGCTCCCTGCCACACCGAGCCCACCACCCAGGAGCTTGGGCCCCTAACTCTGATGATGAGATGACCCGACATCCACACCCACAGATCTGCTCCCACCACTGGAATGGCCCCGAGGACTGGGAAGCCATCCAACCCACCCAGGAGATCTGGGCCTCCTGGACTCGGGATGCTCTGGAGCCGCCTCCCCAGACCATCCGCTTCCAATCGACCGGAGAGGGAAGACCCCTCAAAACAGAGTTCCGGTCAGAGCAGGGCCTAGAGGCCTACGTGTACCCTGTGAACCCCCCACCTCCCAGCCCTGAGACCCTGAGTCACAACAATGGGGCGGGGGCGGCTCAGTGCCAGCCTGCCCCACCACCCGTCCTGGGCCCTGCAGTCGTCCCCGAAATCCCCCGACGTCGCTCCTCAGGCCGAATAATGTATGATGCCCGGGACGTGAGGCGGCGGCTTCGAGAACTGACCCGGGAGGTGGAGGCCCTGTCCCACTGTTACCCCCTGGCCTCCGCATCCAGCACTGCTGAGGGGACAGGCAAGGACTGGGTGTACCGTCCCCTAACTGGGAGGTGACTAGGAAAAAAATAAAAAGGAGAGAGGACGTGGTTTGTGGCAGTATGTGAGGTGCCAGGGCCCACATAGCACCCGGAAGCCCTGGTTGCTAAGGGAATGATCTCCCTGGCAACAAGGCCTAGAGAGCCCTGAGGACCCTCATCAACCTCCTGCCCTCACAGGCCCTGTCCTCAGCCATTTCCCATGCCCTTCTTGGTTTCACGGCTCCCATCTGCCTCTACCCTGTTTTCTTTAGTGCCCAGAGAAGCCCCCAATCCCACCCCAGACCGCTGGGCAGTCCTGCACTAGCAGAGAGACTCCTATCCCTATGGCCCTATCTCCTGGAAGGTCTGGTCCCCGATAAAGCCCTGGTTTAGGCTACAGCTACAGGAGAGGTATGGCCCTGTTTTATTTGGGGAGGGATGGCTGAGAGTGAGGGCATTCAGGCCCTCACAGTTCCTTAAGCCAGAATCTGAAGCTGCGCTGGTTGGTTAGCTTGGGTGGTTAGAGCACAGACTTATAACACCAAGGTCATGGGTTCTGATCCCCTCACTGGCCAGCCACCAAAACCAGAAGAATCTGAAGGTCCTGTGCCCTCAAGCAGGCTTGGAGCAGAAGATGAAATACTGGGGACACTCTCAAGAGCTTCCTCACCATAACATTACAGCCCTTTGTGACCTCAGTCCTGTAATTAGCCCACCATATCACACATGAGGAGACTGGGGCCCAGAGATGCCAAGTGACTTGCTCATGGTCATACAGACACCAAGGATCACGTTCATGGCCTCGGACACTCCAGTCCCCTGTTCCTACCGGTAGATTCCCATTGCCAGTAAGTTGGCCTGGCCCACCCAAATGTCCCAGCTTCCTCAGTTCCATGTGAACCCATCCAAAAATTCTATCCATTGGGCAGCAGGGAAACACAGGCCCTGCCCTAGTCCTAGAGGATTGGGATCATGTGTGCGTGCATGCGCGTGAAGGAGTTGAACCCCACCTTCCATACTAGTCAAATTCCTGGAGAGTGAGTAGACAGAGCATTTGTGAATGGCCCAACTTCTCCATTCATTTACATTCAACTAACATTATTTTAACATTATTAATCATTTAAAGCTGATTCCACTCAGTGGGTGTACTGAGCATCTACTATGTGTTTGGAGGCTTGATGGGAAATGCTCACTGGCCTTTCCCCTATGTCTGCTGAGTAGTTCACTGTGTAAACAAATGACTCCCGATCCCCAGGGCGCCACTTTCACAGATCCCAGTGATGAACCTAGTTTAAATTGAAGATGACTTTTGTCATGTCAACAATTACATCTATTTTGTGCTTTGTTAATTTCATGTGGCTTTCTTAAAGTGGCAGCTCACAGTTTTTCAACTTGGAATTGGGCGGTGGGTCGGTGGGAGGACGGTTAGGACAGAGAGGAACCATGGCTAGGGTTGGTCCCTGGCAGGGGCAGCAACCTCAGCAAGACAGAAGTCAGTCTGGCTCTGAAATGAAGGGACCAGTGGGCTCAGGGACCACCAACACCTAGGGCTACAATCCCCAGCCAGGAAGGTGTGGGCAGCGATGAGTGCTAGTGGAATTAGAACAGAGAAATGGACAGGATGGGAGAGTTTGGTACAGCAGAGTGACTCCAAGGAGGATTTTTGCTGTCCCATGCATCTAGTCACCCTAGCTGCTGGCCTAAAGTAGACAGGGCTAGGGCGCCCCAACAGGCTAAATACATTGCCATAATGTCTCAAAAAGAACAATGAAATGGAGGAAATCCGTTATGTACAATTCAGCACCTGTGAAAACTTTCTCATGACTGTAGCTACCTTATTTTCAGATCAGGAACTAGGTGTGTGGTCATGGTATAGAGGGACAGATTGAACTCTGGGGTATCTGGGGACTGGGCTCCATTAAGTGGGAGTTGAGGGTAGAGATGGCCATGTAAAGGGCCAGAAGGTGGGTACAAGAGCTGCCACTTCTGCATTGTGACTCTCCCTAACTGGCCTCATTATGACCTGGCTCCCACACCAGCTGGTAGGTATCTCTAGGTATTGGTATGAGTGCAGTGTGGGTCGGGGCCGGGGGGGGTGGCCCAGGTGGCCCTAGGACCCCCCCACCATGGAAAATCAGCTGTGGCATGACACCCTGGGGTGCTGCAGTCAATACCAAGAAAGCCCCCAGAATGTTGAGGACATCTTATTCCTGCTGCTGGGTCTCATCATTCTTGTCAACATTGGCATCAACATGGCAACTGTGGTCAGTGATGGTTGTGGATCACCCCTAGGGGTGAAGAAGACTGTGGGTGGGAGCCAGCTGCAGCCTTCACCTCGACTGCAGGAGTGGGGTGGGGTTGGGGGTGGAGAGCCTGGCCTTCACCCCTGTCCCGCCCCACCCCCAGATGTGGCATGGGCTCCAGAATGTCTTAGACAAGATGTTCCATAGCACTAATCAGAAAAGTAAGTATGGCAGCTAGAGAGGTGGCCCCACCCCCACCCACCACCATAAACCCAGGCCCATGTGCTCCCAACCCTGAACTCTTCTCACAACTGTCCTGATCTCATGGACTCTTGCCTTCTCCAGATGAAGTACAAGCTACTGAAAGTTCCTCCAGAGATCCCCCAGCCAAGGCACAGGATGTCCACATCCACTGCATCCTGGACCCTGTACAGGTAAAGATGGCCCGACCCACACGCTACTCCTCTTCCTCCTGCCACCACCTCTATAACCGCCGCAGCCACAGTCGTCCCTATGGTCACCAGAAGAGACCAAAGAACCGTGGAAAATTCCCCCGTGGCCGCTCAGTCTTCCGTAACCAACATCACAGATGCAAGATGTCACGGCTGCAGCCAATGCCCTTCTTTGATGGGGATGACCAGGACTCCTACCTGGAGGACAATGACCTGTCCTTCCCACATCCCAAATACCCCCATGGGCGCTGGGGTGGGTTCTATCAGCGAATGGGCCTGCCCTCCAAGGTGGGGCTGTGGGGCCGCCAGGGTGGAATCCTGGCCAGCCTGCCCCCACCCTCCCTCTACATGTCACCCGAGCTGCGCCGCTTGCCCAAGCGTGTGGAGGCCAAGTCTGAGCTGAGGCTGCAGTCCTACGGGCCCCATTGCTCACAATCCCAAATTTGGGGCAACATGGAGGCTGAGCAGTGGGCCCTGTCTCCACCACCTCCCCGCCGGCTGCCCCCTAACCCCTACTGGGTCCCTGGCGGACACAGTCCTTACCCCTCAGGGGGCCAGATACTGTGTGACTCCTGGGATCAGCGGCGACGTGGTGCAGAGAGCTCTGAGCCCTCACCTGCCTTGGTGTCCCGGAACTCCCGGCCTGACGCCCAGGGCTACCGGGAGCACTATTCCCCACAGTCCCACCGGCAGAGCCTCCCTAGCCATGCTCATAGCCAGCCCAACCGCAGCCCCCACCCATCCATGGGACACTTGGGCTGCAGCTCCCGCGATCCCCACGAGGTACGGCGCAGGGTGGCTGACTGGGCTGAGGCTCTGCCTGCTCGGCATCCCCTGACCACCTCCACGTCCCTCACCGTGCTGGGCGAGACCTGGTACCAACAGGCCCCAGCTCCCAGCTCAGCCCTGCTCCCCCACTCCTCCCAGCCCCTGCCCGAAGTCCAGTCTGTTGATCCCACCCCAGCCCCGACCACCTTCGTCCCACTCAGCCGGAATCCAGGGGGTAATACCAGCTACCGGGTGTACGACAGCCTGGAGCTGAAGCGGCAGGTGCAGGAGAACAGAGTGCGGGCCAGCTCCCTGCCACCACCATCCACCTCAGCCTCAAGGCCTTCTCTGCATAGGAATCGGACTGGGAAACTTAACTGACCAGCAGGCAAATGGGTGGTGGGCAGGGTGTGGAGAGGAATAAAGAGAAACAGAGTCCAGGAAACACTGTGATGTTCTGTGGCTTGGAAGCGCCACTCCTGTCAACCTAGGTCCCTGTCCTTGGCTTCCTGAAATAAGAAAGCAGTGTCCCCTCCTTGGCTCTCCTTGGCTTAGTCACCATGCTCCTGCCAGCAAGCCTCTCCTGGTCTTGCACATGTACTAAGCAGATCCTGCAGCTGCAGACTCCAAACCACTGGTCTCTGGGCACACACCCTGTCTCTCTGCTCTCCCTATCTCCAAAGGGAGCTCAGAGGCTCAGCCCCAGTCAAGAACCTGAGGTCAGAATCCAGACCTGGAGATTCCACATCTAGGCAAATCTAGGCTTATGGCCCAGTGTAGGGCTGGAAGAAGGCCAAGGCTCTGGACTCCAGCCAGGCTTTCTCCAGGTCTCTGAGGCTGAGGTCTTCCCAGACTCACTTCTCAGACTAAGGGGTGAAGGGTTTGGGATTCTCAACTGAAACTGCAGGAAGGATGTGTTTGAGTGAAGCAGCAGTGAGGAAATGATTGAGAGAGAGAGGCAGGAGGTGCACCAGCCCTCAGGCCTGTTGGACTGTCCAGGCTCAGGTTACTCAAACCTAGTTACCAAGCAACTCTACCCTGCCCCGCCTTACTCCATCTCCCGCATTGTGACCCCAACCACCCTCCCCATTATGACTCAGTCCTTCTCCCCCTCTCCCAGCAGAGGAGTCTTGCTCCCAGTGAGTATGTGGGGGCTAGGGGGCCCAGGTAGTCCTGGGACCCCAGGCCATGGGTGAGCAAGCCCACCACGGAGCCCAAGTGTGCTCTGGCACCAATCCCAGGAAGTGCCAAGACTTGGGAGACTCAATACTTCTGATTCTGGGCAGCTTCATCTTGCTCAACGTGGGGATCAATGTGGTGACTCTGGTCAGGGCAGGATCTGGGCGGCAGGGTTGGGGGAGCTCTGGGGTCTCAAAGGGGCTGAGGTAGGAGGGCTGCTGGGATGTGTAGAAACGGGATGGACTTCAGGGCTCACCTTTTCCGGACTTTCTCCTTCCCTGCTTCCCTCAGCTCTGGAGGCATCTGAAGAGCTCCTTGAGGATTCTTTTCCATCATTTTTTTCCCAAAGGTGAGTGGGCCCCTGGGGCTCCTGGGGATGTGTACCTGACCCTTTTCTTCTATCACTGTCCCCATTCTCAGTCCCTCAGGAACCCAGGTCTTATTCTATCCCACCTTCCCTGCAGACAAGCAACCCAGCGGTGTAGGCAGCCATCCCCTGTGTATGCGCTGCTCCATGGATCCCAAGAACCTGTGCTCAAGAGTCTCTTCTCGCTTCCATCATCGCCCAAGCCTCCTGCTTGGACACACTAACCACTTTGACTCTTGGATACCAGACACCAATGATGAGAAGGTTTCTAGGTGCTGCTGGATGCCACCTCAATGTGGACATGCTGGGACTTCCACGGAGGTTCCTTGGGGACTGTGGAAGGAGGGGATGATAGGAGCTGGGGAGGCCCCTCCGGTCACAGCCTCAAAGGACCAAGCCTCTGCATTCTCCAGGCCAGAGACATCTTCCCAATTCCCGAAGATGAGCAAGTTGGACATGGTTCCACTCCGCTTGCCCCAAAAGAACAAGACTAAGGCCCCATCCCATGCCCCGGGCCAGGCCCAGACCCACTCCGCAGCCCATAACCCTGAGCACACTCCTGCCCACAGCCAGACCCACACCCCTCAGTGTACCCCTTCCCCCACCCAGACCCAAACCCCTGAGAGCACCGCTGCCCACACCCAGACCCACATCCCTGAGCGCATCCCTGCCCACACCCAGACCCACATCCCTGAGCGCATCCCTGCCCACACCCAGACCCACTCCTCTGAGCACATCCCTGCCCACACCCAGCCCCACTCCTCTGAGCGCACTCATTCCCAGGCCCAGGCCTTTGCGCACACCTCAACCCATGCCCCAGCCCACTCCAAAGCCCATACTCCAGGCTCTACCCCAGCTCACACCCAAGCCCAGGCCCAGACCCACTCTCAGACCCACAGTCCTGAGCACACCCACTCCCAGGCCCACAGCCCTGAGTATGCCTCCACCCATGCCCCAGCCCACTCCCAAGCCCAGGTCCCAACCCCATCCCCAGCCCAAGCCCCTGCACATGCCTCAGCCCACTCCCAGGCCTATGCCCCTGAGCACACATCATCTCATGCCCCAGCATATATCTCAGCTCATTCCCATCTAATTGATACTCATGTGCACACCTTGGTCCCTGACCCAACCTCTGCACCAGCCCCTCCCCCAACCTCTGCACCAGCCCCTCCCCCAACCTCTGCACCAGCCTCTCCCCCAACCTCTATCCCAGCTGCTACTCCTGTACTAACCCCTACACCAGCCCCTGTCCCAGTCTCTGCCCCAACCCCTGCCCCAGCACTGGTCATGGCGCTGACTACTCCAGTCCCTGCTCCTGTCCCCTCCACCACTCCTATCCCCATCCTAACTCCTATTCCCTCTACCATTCCTGCCTTCAGACATGGCCTCTCCACTGGCCACGTGGTCTATGATGCCCGCAGGGCAAATCAAAACTTCTTCCATATGGGCACCTCCCAGAACTCTAGGTATTACAGAGAAGACTTGGGTACCCTCTCCAGGCCCCAAGAGGGTCAGGGCCTGGTGAGCTCGGATACATCTGAGCAAACATCAAAGCAACACAGTGGGGACAATGCCCAGCCTCCTGCAGGATCCATACTGGGCTACCTGGAGTTGGGGAATATAGAATGGAAGATCTCAGAAGATGCCAAAGACAAGTTCTCCCAGCCCAGGACCTTCCCTTACTGCAGTTTCCGTCCTTGCAGTTCTGAGAGGAAGAACACAGACTCCCAAGCTCCAGTCTACCCAAAGTTCCTGCTCTACTCCCAGGATACTGCACCTTCTAAACCTTGCTTTCATTCTCCAACCACCACCCAGAGCTCACTGTGTACCCTTTCTCCACCATGCACTCTTTCCTTGCCACTTGTTCCTCCTAGATCCTTTGTCCTTCCTCAACCCACCAACCATCAGAAGGCTTCTACCTTAATTCACACTCCAACCTTCCTCCCAAACTCCAAGTCTTCTCAGTCGGTCTCCCCTTCCCAATTCTCCATCCCTCCCCAGTTATCCACTATTTCCCAACCCCTGGTCCAACCCAAACCCCCTGGACTTCATGAGAGCCTAAGTCTTACCCAAGACCCTGGCCTCCAAAGGACCCCATGTCCTTCAAAAGACTCCAGAGTTCCCAGGAACTCAGGCCTTACCCAAGATCCAGGCCTCCACAAGAACCCAAGTCTTGCTCAAGATCCAGGCCTACATAAGTCTCCAGAGCTTACCCAAGACACCTATCTCTGCAAGAATCCAAGCCCTTCCCAAGACTCTGGGCTTTACAAGAATCCTGGCATTACCCAAGATTCTGACCCCCCAAAGAGCCCAGGTTCTACCCAAGATACTGGTGTCTTTAGGAGCCCATGTCTCACCCAACCCTCTGGCTTGCACGAGAATCTACCATTTACCCAAACTTGTGACTTTCAGAGGAAGTTGAGCTTTATGCAGGACTCTGGAGTCAATAGAAATTTGAAAGAAAACAAAGAGACTGCAGTCTACGAAAGTCAAGATCTCTCCCAAGCAATTGACCTCCAAAAGAGCACAGGCCCTTCTCAAGATTCTAGATGTTACAAGAGTACAGGCAATCTCCAAGATCCAGGAGTCAAGAGGAGCCTAGGCCTTACCCAAGATTCTGGACCACAGAGGAGCCCATACCTTGCCCAAGACTCTGAAGTCAACAATAGTTCAGGACTTACCAAGGAGTCTTGTCTCCACAAGAACCCAGCGCTTGTCCAAACCTCTGATCTCCATAAGGGCTCAGGCCTTACTCAAGACTCAGGAGACTATAAGAATCTAGGCCTTACCCAAGATTCTGGTGTCTTCAGGGCCCCAGGCCCTACTCAGGATTCCAACCTCTGCAAGAGTCCAGGCCTTACTCAAGCCACTGAAGTTGAAAGGGGATTTAGCCTTACCCAAGATGATGGAGTTTACAGAAGCCAAGAACATAGCCATGACCCTAACCTCCACAAGTGCCCAGGAATTAATCAAGATCCTGGCCCCCAGATGGACTCAGCCCCTGCCCAAGATTCTGGGCTCTCCAAGATTCTAGGCCTTACCCAGGAATCTGGCCTCCACAAGGATTTGTGCCTTATCCCAGATCCTGGCCTCCACAAGAACCCAAGCCTAGGTACCAACTCTGTCCAAGTCTTGGGCCCACTTCAGACCCCAAAGTCAACATTATCCCCGATGAGGTCATTTGTATCAGAAAAGACTCCTCAGAGGGAGAATGCAGTACAGCATGTAACTTGGACTTCTGTCCCACTCAATCAGAATTCCTGCCCTTCCAAGGCTCAGATGATCTCCAATGACCTGCAAACCTTCTCAGAGGTACCTGTACTAATTGAGCTGCAACCACCCTCCCGGCGAGCAGGAAGCCAAGACTGGGTGTATCGCCCTATGGATACAGTTCCTTCAGCCTGCCAGAACTATCGCCAGATGTCTATGCCTACCCAAATCAACTGGAAGTCCCATTGCCCTGCAACATGCACTCGGGGAGGGCATGTGGTGTTTGATGCCCGCCAGAGACAGTTAGCAGTGGGCAAGGACAAGTGTGAAGCTCTGTCTCCCAGGCGCCTTCGCCAAGAGGCACCCAACAACTCAGGGGAGACCATCAAGGAGTGGGGATATCAAAATGTCATGAGGACTTTGGACAAAGAGGGGACAAAAGTGCATCAGGAATAAAGAGGCGAGAGAAGCATTCTGTGGTTGTTTGAGGACATCCAACCCAGGCCCAGGTCTGAAGCTGGCCACCCAACAGAGCCTGATAAGGACTGGAACTCTCATGTTTCTTCTCCTCCTTCATAGCTGCATAGCTAAGTCCATTATCTTCAAGGCCCTAAAGCTGCATTGTCCAACACAGTAGCCACTAGCCAAATGTGGCTATTAAAACGTAAATTAAAATTAAATAAAATTTAAGATTCTGTCCCTCAGTCTCATCATCTACATTTCAAGTGCTCAATAGCCACGTGTCTAGTGGCTACTGTATTGGACAGCGCAGATTCAGGACATTTTCACCATCACATAAAATTCTGTTGGAGAGCAATGCTTAAGAGTTCAGAGGAGGGGGGGCTGGCCCGGTGGCGCACTGCTACAGTGCGCCGCTTGGGAAGCGCGGCGGCCCTCCCGCCGAGGGTTCGGATCCCACGTACAGACCGGTTCCCGCTCAGTGGCTGAGCGAGGTGCGGGAGCAATGCCGAGGGTTGCGATCCCGTTGCCGGTCCCGGTCCGGTGCGGGCGCGACACTGAGGGTTGCGATCCGTTGCCGGACACGAGAAAAAAAAAAAAAAAGAGTTCAGAGGAGGACTGGCCAGTTAGCTCAGTTGATTAGACCACAGCCTTATAAAACCAAGGTCATAGGTTCAGATCCTGGATCCTGTACTGGCCAGCCACACAAACAAAAAAAGTTTGGAGGAACTTTCCTTTCCCTTGTTACCCTTTCTCAATATCTTAAAATTTCCCACAGAGCTCAGAGAAGTTAGTTCTTTCTAGGGTAGCTCTGAGGCCACCCTTTGGGGAGGAGGTGAGATGCAGGGATACCCAATTCCTGGTTACCCCAGACTATGAGAAAGCCTAGTCTTCAGTTCCCTTGATCTGGCCTCTTGGATCACAACAAGATGTGTGAAAACCTACCCTCCAGTTCTGGACTGTGTTTTGGTGCTCTCAGTTCACCAAGGGCTCCAGCCCTGATTGATGAGGGGAAAAGCTCTCTCTGTCAGTAACTAGAAACCCCCGAGGTCTCAGCTTCCCAAGTTGAGCTCTAAGTTTCTGGAGTCCCCTCCTTTACAGGCCTCTAATTTTTCCAGGTGTCCCTGCTTAATTCTCTTGTCCAGGGACTTAGACCTACCCCACTCTGGAGACAGACCATGGGCAGAAGGAATGTAAGTAGTCCTGGCCCAGCAATGGATTGGTCTGATCTGGGAGGCTGCCCCTGGTTTCCTATCTTCCTGTCCCATTAGCCTGGCTCCTGGACCCATCCTGGGTTTCAGTTGTGTTGTGGTCCCTGATAGCATAGGTTACAGAAAGCAATTTCCTGCCTTTGATAATTTCCCACTGCCCTGCCCCAGCCCAGCTGGGACTTTCCTCTGGACTTGATTTTCAGTCCTGATTAACTCTTCTGTGTACACACATAAGCTTCAAGATTCCAATACGTTGGGGCTAGGCCGTGGCTCACTCGGGAGAATGTGGTGCTGATAACACCAAGGCCACAGATTCGAATCCCATATCGGGATGGCTGGTTAGCTCAATGGGTGAGCATGGTGCTGACAACACCAAGTCAAGGGTTAAGATCCCCTTACCGGTCATCTTTATAAAAAAAAAAAAAAAAAGATTCCAATATGTTTTCCGTGCCACAATTCATGCATGTCTGAGGTGGGCATTACTAATATGTATGTTTCTTCCATGAGTCAGATGTCTATTCTTGGGTCACCACCTGTGTGTTCCTGCCTAACACTGCCACCACTGATTCCAAGATGCCTCCCCATCCAGCCAGGGAGGCCCTTTCCAACACCTCCCTGGCTCACCTCTGACTTAGACAAGTCACGTGCAACCTTCTAGGCTGCAGTCTTCTCATCCCCCAAATGAAGTTATAACTGCATGAAAGAACTCTCCTTGGGATGCAGGGGCCCCTATTTTCCCCCAGGTCCTAGGATGTGTCATTAATGTTCGATATTCAGATCCATCCTATTACCTCTCTACTCCATCTCCAAGGAATGTTTGTGCGAGGTTGATTTGGGCTTAAAAAGACACGGAATAGTGTATCTCCAGAGAAACTACAACTTCCATCAGGCACTAGTTCAGTAGAACGGGCAAGGACGTGGAGGCGTGGCTCCAACGCCCTAGTTGCGCGGGAAACAAACTACAACTCCCAGGCTAGCGCGAGATCTCCGCAGGGCTAACGGAGCGACTGAACTCCGGAGGCAGAACCGGGCCGGAACCACCCCGACAGCCCCCAGAGAGGGGCGTGGTCTAAATTTAGGGGCGTGGCCATGTGGATATCAGGAAGAAGTTACCTGTTGAATCGTTCTATCCTTTCTCTTTCCTACCCTTGCAGCTACCAGGAAAGGGGTAGCAGCCGACTTGTTAGCGTCTTCAAAAAAGGTAAGGAGAGGTAGACAAGGGGCGGCGGCGGAGACTGGCTACTGCCTTCCTTAGGAGAGGCTCAACAGCTGTTTTCTACCTACTGAGTCAAGTGAACTGGTTTACGGGAGCGGGTACCTGCATTTAAGAAGAGGGCAAGGACGGAGGAAGTATTTATTTATTTTGAAGACTAAAGTTAGAACTCATCATCTGCAGACCTATTTGTGGATTGTGTCTGGGGCACTCTCGGCCTCGGAAAGAGGGAAGAATGGGGCGACTCCGGTAGCAAAAGAAAGGCTCGTCTAGGCTACCTCCCGTCTGTGTTTTCCCTAGCCCAAAACCACAGAGCCGCATGGCTTCCGCCGTCTGGGGGAGTGCCTCCTGGTGGGGCCCGCCGCCCCCAGCCCCAGCCCGGCCGCTCACGGACATCGACTTCTGCTCTGGTGCGCAGCTGCAGGAGTTGACCCAGCTGATCCAGGAGCTGGGTGTGCAGGAGAGCTGGAGGGACGGGCCCGAACCGGGAGCAGACCTCCTCCGAGCCAAGGACTTTGTCTTCTCTTTGCTTGGTAAGTAACCCTTCCTGCCTTGGGGAACTCTCAGATCTCAACCTCGCCACGCCCCCGCCCCAGCTTTGGGCAAAGCCCTCACGATCCTTTCTCTTCACTTAGGTCTAGTTCACCGTCGGGACCCCCGCTTTCCCCCCCAGGCAGAGCTCTTGCTGCTTCGTGGTGGGATTCGCGAAGGCTCCCTGGATCTGGGGCATGCACCCCTGGGTCCCTATGCCCGGGGACCTCACTACGACGCCGGCTTCACACTCCTAGTGCCCGTGTTGTCTCTGGACGGCACTGAGCGAGAGCTGCAACTGGATCTGGAATCCCGTTACTCATGGCTTCGCCTCCCAGAGCTTGTGTACGGAACCTCAGTCCGGGAGTTGTGGCAAGATTGCCTAGGACCCCCAGTCCCAGGAGGACGTGATTTGAGCCACCAAACCAAGAGCGAAGAAAGTCCCAAGGACCCGCAAAGCTCGGTGGACCAGCCGCAAGGTGACATCACTGAGTCTGAGTCGCATGTGTCTTTCGAAGAATCGTCTAGTGACGTTTCAGGGTCCGAATCGCCTCGGCATGACGTCACCGACCCTGGCTTTCCTGCACCATTGAAAAAACAGAGTAGTGACGTCACGAAGGAAGCCGTCGAATGCCCAGTCCCAAAGCCGTCGGAGACTCAGGAGGCGTGGCCTACATTGTGTCCAGCCCAGGTGGCTGCTTGGTTCTTTGTTAAGCTGGCCGCCGTCGCAGAGTCCCTGATCCCGGTCCCGGGCGCCCCGCGCCTGGTGCACGCAGCTCGGCATGCGGGGGTCACTACCATCCTCCTGGCTACGCCGGGGCCCCCGCGCCGCCTCTTGCTCTTCGACCTGATCCCAGTGGTATCCGTGGCCGGCTGGCCCGAGGGGGCTCGGAACCACTCGTGGGCCGGTCCGCTGGCCGCCGAGCCAGCCTCCTTCTACCTGGTGCCCGGCGGCGGCACCGAGCGTCTGGGCGCCTCGGGTTGGCAGCTCTGCTTTGCCCGCCAGGAGCTGGCGCTCAAGGCGCGCATACCCGCGCCGCTGCTGCAGGCGTACGCAGCAGCCCAGGCGCTACTGCGCCCGCTGGTGGCCGGGACCCGGGCCGCGGCGCCCTATCTCCTGAGGACCTTGCTGTATTGGGCGTGCGAGCGGCTACCCGCGCTCTACCTGGCGCGGCCGGAAAATGCAGGCGCCTGCTGCCTCGGGCTGATAGACGAGCTGGGCCGTGTGCTCGAGGCCGGGACGCTGCCTCACTATTTTCTGAGAGGCCGAAAGCTCTGTGCCGGGGACTGCTCCGCTGCGCTGCTCCGGGCGTTGGCCGGGCTCCGCGCGGACCCTGCCCGGGCCCTGCGTACAGCGGTGGAAGAGGCCAAGATTGCGCGCAAGGGGGGAGGCTTAGCGGGCGTGGGGGGCGGGGCGCATTAAAGACGCTACTCCTACCAGTGCAGAAAGTGCTTCCGTTGGCTAGTGGGACGAGGAGGGGACTGCTTGCTCCCCGACTGAGATATAGACTGTGTGCCCTGGGCCCAAAGCCCCCCTTCTAGAAGCTCTTCTCGTCGGTTCCTCCCCATGCCCCCGCCTCGTCCCCGAAACAGGTCGTCCCAGGCCGACCTCTCTCCAAATCTGTGGCCAGCACCTCTCCGCCCCGGTGCAGCCTCCCGCGACCATCTCTCCCCTATTCTTTAGGTCTTTTCTCTCAGGAGTCGGTAGAGCTGGGAGGAAAATGCGTAAAGGAGAGAGGTATGGAGACCAGAGACTGATCCATTTGGCTCACCCAAAAGCAGAAATATTAAGGAGGCCGGCTTTTGCCCGAGGCTGAATCTCACCACCACCTTCATCTCTCCAACTCTTCCCCTCACCACCCCCACTTTCCTCATCCAGTTCTGCCCTCACTCACATCCCGGGCAGTAGGGTTCCTCTCTACGGTCTCTCGGCGTCGGCCATTCCATCTCTCTTAAGCCCAACCTCTCCCCCCATCCAGGGTTCCGTTCAGGAGGCCTCCTTGTGCCTCCTCCTCTGAACCCCCAGACATGCCGCCTTGCCTCCTCCGCTCCGCCTGCCTCTAACACAGTCCCCACTCCCTGCCTCCAAGGAACCCCGGGGTTACACCCGCCCAGCTTCACCCCCCTCCTTCCTAGCGTCTCCGCCCCCTGCCCCGCCCCCGGGCTGGCTCTCGGAAGAGGGGGAGCTGCCGTCGCCACCGCCGCCTCAGCTTCCCACAGCCGCTTGCCGCTGCCGCCGCTGCCACGGTTCTCCTGGTCCAGCCGCCAGGCCCAGTGCTCTGACTTCGCCGGACTGGGACGCTCTGCAGAGACACCCTCACTCCTTGCCGGGTGTCTGGGACGCCTATCCGGGCCTGGGGGGAAGCTCCGCTTTTGGGGGACAGGGAGGGAAGAGCCTGGAGCTGGAGCCAGCGCCACCCATCACCGGATCCACAGGACAGGACAGGTTGAGGGGCATCGGGAAAAGGAAAAGGGGGTGCTATAGGCAGTCCCGGGAGGAAAGGGAAGCCCTGTCGTAGGAAGCTCTGATGTGCTCTGACTTGTAGCGGGGCCTATTCATATTTGGGGGCTGGAGACAACGTGGGTGCACTCTTCTCTCGGGGGGCTGATTAGATTGGAGGACGTGGGATCTAAACAGCACGAGCTGTCCCCGAAGAAATCTAGGGGGCAGCCAGAAAAAAAGAGAGAGGGGGAAAAAAAGGATGGTCCTTATTTGAGGTGACAGAGGGCCCTCCAGACAACCACCTGGTGTATCCACTAGGAAGGGTGGATTTGGAGGTGACTTCAAAAGGAGTGGAGGTTGATAAGGTGAGGAAGGGGTCTCAGCAGCTGGAACCCTGGGCTACTAGAAATGGGGGTGACTTCGTGAAAAAAGATATTGTCCAGCCAGAGGGTCTAGGGACCCCTTCTCACTGAACTTGAAAAGCCTGGATATTCCGAGACATATTTTGAAGGGATTTCAGTGGTGGTGGGGGGGAGGTGGGAGACTCTTTTCATTTAGAGGGTAGCAAAGGAAAAAACACCAAGGATGGCTTCCTCCCTGACACTGGCAATACCCCAGTAGGGGTGGGGTGAGCTAATATCCCCAAAGCTAAGGACCCACACCTTTAGACTACAAAAGTGGATTTGGCAGGAGTGCCAGCCCGAAATAGAGTGGCAAGGTGCCTGGGTATATTGGAACTACATCTTGGAAATTTGGGGGGTCTTGGCTTTGGGATAAAAGAAGTAGGGACAGAGACATTGGAGACCAAGGAAAGGGGTGCTTTTCAGTAGCGGGGCAAAATTCGAGGGTGGGATCACCTGGGGAGTGTATAGTCTGCTAGATCCGGTGGAGCTAACACGGGGCCCAAGGGTGGAAGCTGGCTGCTGGACGGAGGGGGGTTGTGGGGGAGTTTGGGGCTTATCCTCAGGTCCTGTGGGTGGGGCGGTGAGTCGGGGCCTGAACGTCAAGAGCATGCCCTGGTGAGCGGGCTCGTCCTCTGGGGGAGCCCAGCACGCTCCGGGCGCCTGCCCGTTTGGGGGTGCCTCCTCCCGGGGCGCCATGGCGGCGCTGGCCAGTAGCCTGATCCGGCAGAAGCGGGAGGTCCGCGAGCCCGTGGGCAGCCGGCCGGTATCGGCACAGCGGCGCGTGTGTCCCCGCGGTACCAAGTCCCTTTGCCAGAAGCAGCTCCTCATCCTGCTGTCCAAGGTGCAACTGTGCGGGGGGCGGCCCGCACGACCAGACCGCGGCCCGGGTGAGTGCGGCTGGGGAGGGGCCTCCGGACCAGAGGTATCTCTGGGAGGTTGAAGCCGGGGACTTTGAAGAATGCGGCCCGGCTGAAGGAGCTCCCCAAAAGTGGAAGGGGATGGGCTAGGAAGACAAAGTCCCTGCCAGACTATGCCTCAGTTTCTCTTTTCTTTTGTCCATATCTCCGAGTCTCCTTGCTTTCGAGGACAAGGAGAAGGCTTGAGGGGCTAAACCTGGCGCCCCGAAGCCTCGCAGCTGCTGCCCGACCCCCCCTCAACACAGCAGTCCCCACCCCCACCATCCTCCGCCTACGTGCCGGTTCTCGCGATTCTTTCAATCCGGAGCGGAGGGGCCTGGGGGTTCCGGACGCCCGGGTCGCCCGGCGGGTTTCTGCGGCTCCGGCCGTCCCGTCCCCGCCCCCCTTCTCCCTCTCCTCCAAGCCCTGGCTCGGTTCCTCCTGGTGGAGCTCTCCCGGCTCGGAGCCAACCTCCCTAGCTCTCCCCCGAGTGTCCTTGCAGCTACCACACTAGCCAGCCCCTCAGTGCGCCCTCCTCCCGTGACCTGCACTTCAGAGAGGGGGCTGGACCCTCCCTCCCATTACCCCCGCGCAACTCCGAAATTAGGTCTCAGGGGCTCAGGGGACCCTACGCTGGGAGGAACTCAGACACAGTTCACGGCCGGAGACCAGCACAGAGACTTGGGGGTCGTACCACCTACGAGGGGGGACAGGGAAGTCGGCAGAGAGCAAGCGACTGGGAAAGAGAGTTGTGAGGTTAGCGCGTGGTCCGCGTCCAGGTACGACAGTCAGGGGAGTCCCTCTGGCCCGGCTCCCGCCAGCTCCCAGCTCCCCTAGGTGTAGCCCCCTCGCGCCCTCCTCCCCCAGCCACCGTCCGCAGTGGTACGCTCCGCAGCCCACCCTCCGAGTGGGACCCGGCCCCCACGTGACTCAGCCTGCCTCTCCATCTCCTCGTCCCCCTCCCCCCATTTCCTTGATATGGTATCAAATGCCCCCACCCCAGGCAGGTTACCTGGCTGAAGGGGAGAGGCTGAGCCTCAGGGAGAACTGGGCCCCGCGAGCCAGCAGACTGACAGACAGACAGACAGACAGACAGACAGACAGACAGACAGACAGACAGACAGACAGACAGACAGACAGACAGACAGACAGACAGACAGACAGACAGACAGACAGACAGACAGACAGACAGACAGACAGACAGACAGACAGACAGACAGACAGACAGACAGACAGACAGACAGACAGACAGACAGACAGACAGACAGACAGACAGACAGACAGACAGACAGACAGACAGACAGACAGACAGACAGACAGACAGACAGACAGACAGACAGACAGACAGACAGACAGACAGACAGACAGACAGACAGACAGACAGACAGACAGACAGACAGACAGACAGACAGACAGACAGACAGACAGACAGACAGACAGACGGGTCATTGTCAGGCCGGCGGTGGGCCAAGGCGAGGTCCGAGCCAAGCGAGCGGCAGCCGCAGCAGCAGGTGCTGAGTCAGCCTCAGGCCCAGTCCCACCCCGACTCCTGAGGGGGAGCCCCTACCCTGTGGTCACCTTGCGGCCGCACCGCCCATTCGCAAACACACTGCCCCTCAGTAGTCCTGCCTGTCTCCCTCTGTCCATTGCCTTTTGATGTATCTCTCCCCTTCCTCCCGCTCCCCTCCTTCCTGGTTAAGCTGTAGAGTAGGAATGCAGCCATTTCAATAAATTTCAATAAATTAAATTGAAAGTTCGTGGTTACAGAGAACAGAAGGGACCCACATCCCTGCTTTCCCCAGGAGTTGAAGAGAGGTGGGAGACAGTTTGCTCAGAGGGTGAGAGAGCTGGGGCCCTGGGACCCTCTTCCCTCCATTCTCCTTTCTTTTCCCTGATCCCGCCAATTGTAGGAATGCTTCTGGGAACAGAGATGTCATTTTCAAAGATGAATGTCTCTCTCTCCAGAGCCTCAGCTCAAAGGCATCGTCACCAAACTGTTCTGCCGCCAGGGTTTCTACCTCCAGGCAAATCCCGACGGGAGCATCCAGGGCACCCCAGAGGACACCAGCTCCTTCAGTGAGAGGGGAAGCCAACTGCTGGGTGGGAAGCAGGAGGATGGGGACAGGAAATGACAATCCTATTCCCTCTTCAGGTTCTGTTGCTTTCAGTCTGTCTCCCTGACCCCCAAGGGAAGAAGTGGAGCTGGGATGGGAAGAGGTCAGATGAGGGTTAGAGGCCTGGGGACTGATGCCGCCTCTCTCTACCTCCAGCCCAGTTCAACCTGATCCCCGTGGGGCTCCGTGTGGTCACCATCCAGAGTGCCAAGCTGGGTCACTACATGGCCATGAACGCTGAGGGGCTGCTCTACAGCTCGGTGAGACAACGAGGCCAGTGGCCTGGGGGTACTGGGGACTCTCCTAGCGTACAACGTTCCTCAACTACCCACATTTTGCAGCCCAGGACTAGGTCTCCCTGCAGCTTTTGCTGATGGCTGTCACCACTGCCCACTCCAGAGTACCTCCTATAGGGTCTCTCTCATCCCCACTCCTCTCATAGCCCCGCACATACTCGCAGGCTCTTTGAGTGTCCAATTCTTTCAGCCTTTTAGGGCCCCCTCTTTTTATCCTCCTCTTCCTGACTTCATTCTCACTCACTTCATCAGAGTCATTCAGGATAGGGGATGCTGAGAGATTGGAAGCAGAGCAGAGAGAAGGGATCTTTTTGTTCCAGGACACCCAAAAGTCTAGTTCTTAACCCTCAGGGGCCTACTGAGCTGTTCCCTGTCCTTCCTTTGCTTCCAGTTCCTACATGGACTCAGAAGTTGCCCTCCCCCTCCCCCCAATAATGTATGGATTATATCCTGGCTTGCTCTTCCCAAGGGCTCCCTTCTGCCCAGTGATGTGTCTTTTTGTCTCTCTGTCCGTGTGTGCCTTTCTGGGTCTTTGTCTTCTCAGCCATATTTCACAGCTGAATGTCGCTTTAAGGAGTGCGTCTTTGAGAATTACTATGTCCTGTACGCCTCTGCTCTCTACCGCCAGCGCCATTCTGGCCGGGCCTGGTACCTAGGCCTGGACAAGGAGGGGCGGGTCATGAAGGGAAACCGAGTCAAGAAGACCAAGGCAGCTGCCCACTTTGTGCCCAAGCTCCTGGAGGGTGCGTATGGACTCAAGAAAAGTTGGGCCATGTGGGAGGGTATTGACCTTGACATGAACATTTAGTGGCACACAGCTCAGACTACAAGTGTTAAGAGGACTCTGCATGATGGATCAAGCCAGGAAGACTTCAGCCTTTGGGGATTTGGGGAGTTCTCTCCCTTTGGCTTGGGGTTCCTGGAGGGCAAGTGTAGGGGAAGGTAGCATTTTAGAGCTCTGGTTCTGCCTGGGTCTTTTTGTGCCTAACTCTTGTTCCCTGCTCCTCTCTTCCCTTCACAGTGGCCATGTACCGGGAGCCTTCTCTCCACAGTGTCCCTGAGACCTCCCCTTCCAGTCCCCCCGCCCTCTGAAATGTAGTCCCTGGACTGGAGGCTCCCTGCATTCCCAGTGACCAGCCACCACCACAGCCTGTCTCCCAGCCCTGCTCTCTCCCCTGCTGCCATACACATGCCCTGAGCAGCCAGGTCTCACCAGGTGCTCTACTCTGAGGGAGCCAAATGTCTGGCTGTGACTTTGGGGACTGCTGAGAACCTTAGATTCTTTGGTCTTGGAGGGGGTCAGAGAGGGGGATGTCTGAAAATGTCTTTGGCTTATCACTTCTTTCTTTCCACACTCCCCCCTACCCACAAAGCCTTTTCCTGCGATGGCACTGGGAATTCCAAAGCTGACAGAGCCAGGGCATAAACACTCCCCACCCCAGGCTCAGCCAATTCCTTTGGCCCTGTGCCCCTTTTCATTGCCACTGAGCCATAGATTTGTAGGTCCACGGGAGCTCAGGATTAGTTTCCTTCTTTCCCTACTCTACTTTCTGCCTTGGACTGGGCAGGTTCTGGAACACCAGACACCCCAGCCAGGACCGTTTCTGCACTAGGGCTCTGTGCTGGAAGCCAAGCATGCTGCCAGACTCTGTTCTGGATCCATCAGCCTTCTATCCTTGACCCTGATGGACTCGAGAGAGAGGCTGGATTTGAGTCCTACCTAGCTGTTGGTCTTGGCCTGAACTGGGACCAGTCTCAGATCACCACAGGTTTAACCTTCTTATCCCAGAGACACCCAATTGTAGAACATGGTGTTCTAGACCTTAACAGAGCAATACTTCCTCCTGAATCTGAGCTCTAGGACATAGACCGTGACTCTCAGCCCTTCTCCCCAGGATGCAACTGGGGCCTGTATAGCCATATTATTGCTCTAGAGTAAGTTCTAGACCCACCTTCCCACCTTCTCTAGTGATACTTATTAAGCATGAGTTCTGGAAAGGACCCAGCTATGATTCATAAAGAACTAAGTTCTGGATGCATCAAGAACTACTTCTTATTTTTCCTAGATAATTTTCTAAAACTTTTATTCTTCCATATAGAACACTAACCTTATTTTTACATGCAGTTTCTAGCTCCTGAAACCCAGCTGGGGTCCTGCCAGGGAAGCAAAGTCTGGGGGAGGGCAGAGGAATTTTGGAAAGATCCCTGGCTTATAGTAGGGAAGCTGGGATGGGGAAGGGGCCAAAACCATGGCATGATTCAACCTGTGTCTAGACTGGGGGGACATGAACACTTAGCTACCTCAGCAGGAATTCCTTCCAGGTCCCATTTAAAGCTGAGGTTTTAGGGTAATGGGTCTAGAATAAAAGGACAAATGGGACACAGCCTTGACCCCCCCTCCAGTGAGGAGACCCCAATTCAGCAATAAGTGCTACCCCTCTTTCCTATAGGTCAGGCCAAGGAGGGTGAGGGCCTCCTGGGCTGCAGGCCTCATATACCCCCAGAGCTACAGAGTAGAACTGGCTTTACCCTACAGCTTATAAACTCAGCTGGGTACCCAAAAAGGGCCTGACGAGATTTATGGGGAAAATGTGGAGATCTAGGTGCAGGCCTGGAAAAAACTGGGAACCCACTAGTGAACTAGGAGGTAAACCAGGAGTAGCCTCAGATCTGAGCAGGAGAGACTAAGGTTGCCCTAAGGGAGGGGCAAGAACTCAAAGGCAGGTCACTTTTCCTCAGGCTCTTTTACTTCTGGCTTGTTGCAAGAGGGGTAGATGTCCCCCTCACCCACACAAACCCTGCTCAGGCTCCACCTGTCTCCTGGCTCTGCTCCCAGGGGACTGGGTCTATACTCCAGGCTTTATCAATTAAAGACGGTTTATACAACTGACGTGTTGCCTGTCATCTGTGGGTAGCGGGCTTCGGCAGTTGCTCTGGGCGGGACCAAGTCCCGGGGGCGGGGCGGGTGGGCTGGCCTCTGCCCCCCAACAACAGGTGCACATTCCTGGGAGCCTCGTCACTTCCCCTGCACTGCCGGTCCCGGCGGCTCTCCGAACGAACTCACTGAGCGACGCGGCCAGACCATGACCCTGGGGTCGCTGCTGCTGCTGCTGGGGGCGCTGGGGGCGCCACTTGCCCCAGGTAAGTCTGAGTCCAAGAGGCGGTGACAGGGGCAGCCGTCGTGGCCGGGCACCAGGCCTTCACCCAGCGCTCTCCTCCCCCAGGCGCCCGCGGCTCGGAGGCGGAGGGCCGACTCCGCGAGAAACTTTTCTCAGGCTATGATAGCTCGGTGCGGCCGGCGCGGAAGCTGGGAGACCGCGTCGGGGTCAGCATTGGTCTCAGCCTGGCACAACTCATCAGCCTGGTGAGGCGGTTGAAGTCAGGCCGCAGACCGGCTGGGGGTCGTGGTTTTAGGCCTGGCAGGACCGACGAACAGGCTAAGGACGGGGCCTGGGGCGAGGCCAGGCTGAGAGATGGGCGAGGCTTTAGCGAAGATTGGGTCGAAATCGGACCAGTGGACAAGCTGTGGGCGTGGCTGCTGGGCAGGCCCCTGGCAGAGCCGGGTGGGATGAAGAACGCGCCCACAGGCGGATCTGGGTTCTTTCTTTCTTTGTTTGGCTGCTGGCCTGTACCGGGATCCGAACCCTCGACCTTGTTGGTATAACACCTCACTGAGTTAACCGACCAGCCCTTGAAGCGGAGCTGGGGCAGGTGGACTGGGGTGGGAGGTGGGAGGTGATGGGGGTGCGGAGCGGAGCGTGGTGCTCAACAATCAACAGCGGCGGGCGGAGATTCAAGGCTGGGTGGGTCATAGACTGTGGGCGGGTCCGGGACAGCGGGGCGGAGGGCTGGGCAGGGGCGGGGCTGTAGACGATCAGGTGGGAGTGTAGACCCCAGGAGGGAATGCTTCTGAGATGGAGGCGGGGCTTAAGTTAATGAAGTTCCTAGGGGGTGGGGCTTGAGCCCCACAGGGTGGGATTCAGAGAAGGCGCGGAGTTTCCAGGGAAAGGTTGACCCGCCGAGCCTCCCCCATTTCTCTCCATCCCACTTCACTTCTACCCTTTAAACTTTTCCCTTCTAGAACGAGAAAGATGAAGAGATGAGCACAAAGGTGTACTTAGATCTGGTATGGAGACCCCGTAGGGTGGGAAAGGGCGTCCTGCTGCCTTTTCAATTTCCTCTAATGTCCGGCTCAGTAAGAATATTTTTTTGCATCACGACCTCAAAAACACATAACTGAAACAAAAGCTTCAGAAACAATACCCGTCTTTACTACAGAAGTTGCACACCACGAATTTTTCATTCTAATTTTTTAACACTGATTTGAGGCCACTGATTTGATTCCCCACCCACTAAAGGGTCACGTACTGCAGTTTGAAAACCACAGTTTTAGAGGCTAGTGCAACCTCCTCATTTTTACAGACTAAAAAATTGGGAGCCGGTGCGGGGGAATGGAAATTAGCTGATGCGGATCCCAGCGAGTGAAGGCGGAGCTGGAGCCAGAACTTGACCCTAAGCCCATGCCTGCCCTGCTCCCCTCCCTTACTCTCCCTTCCTGGGCTTCTTTCGGACATCCCCAGTCCCTCCTGGCCTCCAGCCCCGCACAGCTCCTCGGTCTCTGCTTCCCTAGGTGTGGACCGACTACAGGCTGAGCTGGGACCCTGCCCAGCACGATGGCATCGACTTGCTCCGCATCACGGCTGAATCCGTGTGGCTACCTGATGTGGTTCTGCTGAACAAGTAGGATTTTCCCAAAGCCTGGGAGGTGGGGCTGGGCCTGCGGAGGGCGGAGCCTGATCGCAGACGAGAGGATCCCTTCCCTACAGCAATGACGGGAATTTTGACGTCGCTCTGGATATTAACGTCGTGGTGTCCTCCGACGGCTCCGTACGCTGGCAGCCCCCGGGCATCTATCGAAGCAGCTGCAGCATCCAGGTTTCCGGTCTCCGTCTGGGAAGCTCAAAGGGCTCTCAGAAACCCTCCCTCTCCTCGGACACCCTGACTCCGCAGCGACTCCCATCCCTCTCCCCTTATCCTCCGTGATCATCCTCTCTCCTTTGCTCTCCTGATTTTTCGTTGAGTGTTATCTTCTCTGTACACTTTAACTTCCAGTCTTCCTCAGTGACCCCCTCCTCCATTTCCCCAATGGCCTCCCTTAATAACCCTCTAATTTCTCTGTGACCCCACTTCCCTAGTGATCCCTATCTCCCTGTCCTCCCCCGCCATACCCCGTGACTTCCCCAGTGACCTCCCAAAGCCCTGACTGCAGGCTGACCAGTTCTCTGGCAGCTCTGTTGACTCCACCTCCATCCAGGTCACCTACTTCCCCTTCGACTGGCAGAACTGCACCATGGTGTTCAGTTCCTACAGCTATGACAGCTCAGAGGTCAGCCTGCAGACGGGCCTGGGTCCTGATGGGCAGGAGCAGCAGGAAATCCACATTCATGAAGGAACCTTCATTGGTGGGTGGGCATGGCTCCCATATCCGTGGTCTGTATGACTTCCAGTTTTTTGTTTTATTTTTTTAAAGATGACCGGTAAGGGGATCTTAACCCTTGACTTGGTGTTGTCAGCACCACGCTCAGCCAGTGAGCAAACCGGCCATCCCTATATGGGATCTGAACCCGGGGCCTTGGTGTTGTCAGCACCACACTCTCCCGAGTGAGCCACGGGCCGGCCCTGACTTCCAGTTTTTAACAGGCTGATAAATATACTGGGTCAGCAATGCCCTGTACAACCCTGTGGGATCAGCAACATGGGTATGGCTATTTACATTTTATAAATATAGAAACTGAAATTTGTCTAAGTTTATTAGAGATGGGCTGTCCAGTCAAGTGTCCACAGCTAGGCCCCTATCACCTCAGCCCCCTCAGGTCCTAGAATGTGGCAGAGCAAGCTATACCTGGCACTGACCAGGACAGCTCCCACATCTATGTCCCCTTCTTCTGCTCTGTCTCCCACCCCACCCCCACAGAAAATGGCCAATGGGAGATTATCCACAAGCCCTCTCGGCTAATCCAGCCTCCAGGGGATCCTAGGGGAGGGAGGGAAGGACAGCATCAGCAAGTCACCTTCTACCTCATCATCCGCCGGAAGCCTCTCTTCTACCTGGTCAATGTCATTGCTCCGTGCATCCTCATCACTCTCCTGGCCATCTTTGTCTTCTACCTACCCCCTGATGCAGGTAAGTGGGGAAGGGGCCCCAGCCCTTATTATTAGCTCAGCTTCTTCCTCTTTATTCTTATTCCAGGCAGGGTTTTCCAGCCAACCCAAACAATCATGGATTGGGCTTCGACAACTACACCCAGGTTTTCCCTCCCACCGAGTGGACCCAACCTCTGGCTCTGCCGCCTCCCCTCTGCAGCAGGCTTCCTTCCACCCAGTGACATCTGAACTCTTTCCCTTTAGAGTCCTAGCCTGTCATCCATGGAACCTCCAATCCTCTGACCAATAAACTTCCAGGCTTAGACAACTCTCCCCTTCCTTTTCCCCACTCCCAGCGTTCCTACGCACACGCACTTTTCAGACACACATTAGTCCCTTAACTTCCTATCTCCCAGGAGAATAACAGCCAAGTTTCTCTAGGAGGCAGCATAATGTAGTAACGGGGTAACCTTGGGCAAATTCCTTAATCTCTATGTGTCTCAGTTTCCTGACCTGGAAGTGGGGACAATCATTGTCCCTACTGCATATGATTATTTTGAGGATTGGCTGAGTTAATAGAGCTATACCTGGTACTCAGTATGTTCTATGTAAGCGTGTTTTTTTGTTGTTGTTGTTCTTGTGGGGTTTTGTTTGTTTTGTTTTGTTTTACTATTTTTGAGCACTTGCTATAAGGTAATACAATTAACATGTTACCTGTATTAATTCAACTTTAATTGTTACAACAACCCTCTGAAGTGAGTACTGAATTGTCATTCCCATTTTACAGAGGAGGATAAAGAGGCTGAGATGAGAGTTTAAATAATTTGCCTGACATTACACACTTAGAGAGGGGCAATGTCACTATTCCAACCCTGGTCAGTGTCAGTCTGATTCAGAGACCTGTAATCCTTGACTCTGGTATTCAGAACATGCTTTCCTCCTCTCTGGTATCAAGTGCTCTGTCTAGAGTAGGAGAGTGATACAGCTGTAGAACATACTTCCAAATATAACCCCTACTTCCTCCCAGAGCAGGACAAATCTTGGAACCCAATATTATAGGACTAAAGTAGAGCAGACCATAAAAGTTATTCATTTCAATATCTTTCATGAAGTTTGCAAGGCCTGTTGTATGCCACAGGAATAATCAGCCACCTGGCATATTTTTGTATACTTTGTTTCATTTTTAGATCCTTCAAATTGCTATATAGCTCCTGAAAAAGCTACAGGGGTTGGTCCATTCATTCATGCAACAATATTTGTTGAGTATAATGTGCTAGGCACTTGGAATACATCAGTGAATAAAAGAGAAAAAAATCCCTGCCCCCAGAGAATTTACATTCTACTGGGGGAGTCAGTCAAATAAGTCTATTATATAGTATATTAGAACAAGACAAGACTTAAAGGGTAAAATGAAGTAGGAAAGGGGGTTGGAGAGGATGAGAATGGGGGTAAGCATTGCAATTTAAAAATAGGATGCCAGTGAATTCCTCATCAAAAGGGAATATTAGGGTTGGCTGGTTAGTTCAGTTGGTTAGAATACAGTGTTATAACACCGACGTCAAGGGTTCGGATCCCCATACTGGCCAACCACCAAAAAAAAAAAAAAAAAAAAAAAAAAAAAAAAAACCAACAAAACAAAAAAACGGGGGGAATATTTTAGCAAGAGAATGACCCTGGCAGGTATCTGGGGGAAGAATGAGCCAGGCAGAGGAAACAGTGAATGCAAAGCCCTGGGTGGAAGGGTACCTTGTATATTCAAGAAACAGGGAGGAGGCCAATATAACTGAATGAAGTAAGCAAGGGGAAAACAGTAGGAGATGAAGTCAGGGAGCTAATGGGAAAGGCTTGTAGACCATAATAAAGATTTTGCTTTTATGCTGAAGGAGATGGGGAACCAGTGGAAGGTTTTGGAAAGCGGAGTGATATGATCTGATTTATACTTCAACAAGATCAAACTGGCTGCTCCGTTGAGAACAGTCAGCAGGGGGCAAATGATGAAGCAAAGTTAGGCCTTTATAATAACTCAGACCTTAGGTAATGGTGGTTTGGACCAGGGTAGTAGTAGTAGATGTGATAAGTCATCAGTTTCAGAATGTATTTTGAAGGTACAGCCAATAGGATTTGCTGTGAATTGGACATGGGGAAAAGAGAGAGGAGAGTTGAGAATGATTCAAAGGAGTTCGGCCTGAGCCACAGGAAAAATGGAGCCGTCACTTATGAGATGGGAGAGACTATGGGAGGAAATTTGGTGGTGAGAGAATTAGGTTTTAAGCTTGAGATGTCCATTGGACATTCAAGTGGAGAGGTTGAGTAGGTGGGTGGATATGAAGGTAGGTGGAGTTCTCCCCTGAACTCCAGGCTGGAGGTACAAATGTAGGAGTGATTTGCATGTAGATGGCCGTTCCAAAAGCCTGTCCTTGAGTGGGCTGGAAACATGGTCACTGACTATGCCATGAGGATTTCCTTCTGGCAAAGCCTAATCCTTCTGCCTTCCCCTCTGCCCTCCAAGGAGAGAAGATGGGGCTCTCAATCTTTGCCCTGCTCACCCTTACTGTGTTCCTGCTGCTACTGGCAGACAAAGTGCCTGAGACCTCCCTGTCGGTACCCATCATCATCAAGTACCTCATGTTTACCATGGTCCTCGTCACCTTCTCGGTCATCCTTAGCGTCGTGGTCCTCAATCTGCACCACCGCTCACCCCACACCCACCAAATGCCCCTTTGGGTTCGTCAGGTAAGAGAGGTCTCTTCCTCCAACCTGTGTTAACTCCCGATCCTAGAATTTGGTTTTTTGTCCATGTATCACCCCTCCCTCCCACCAACTCCAACTTCTCTTTAACAGACCTTAAGAAGAACTATAACTGCCTGGTGGAGTGCTGAAGTGCCAACACCTACTGGTTGTTGAAATCTTGCACAATTAATTTTACCCTCCCATTATTACCATTTCATAGATCCCATGCTCTCTTCATCAATACTGTCCATCTTGGGTCCCAGGGAAACATTCTAAGGGTTAGGTACTATCAGGGTGGAAGCCTTCAGAAACTCTCTTCAGTTAGGATGCTTCCCAACCCATTAAAGAGCCCTCAAGGCTGTGTGGTTGCATTTCCTCATCTGTGCAGCTCTGTGGACCATGTGCACGAATGCAGGGCAAATGGGCATGTGGAATAAGGATAGTTGGCTGCTTCCCTTCTGGTCTGAAAGCATGAGAGTCTCCTCCAATACGACTCTTCTACTCTGCAGATCTTCATCCACAAGCTGCCTTTGTACCTGGGTCTGAAGAGGCCCAAACCTGAGAGAGACCAGATGCCAGAGCCCCCTCACTCTTCTTCACCAGGAAGTGGCTGGGGTCGGGGAACAGATGAATATTTCATCCGGAAGCCGTCGAGTGATTTTCTCTTCCCCAAACCTAACAGGTAGGACCTACACCCATCACTCACATAGAAGGGAGAGGGAGAACTACAGTTCCCAGAAGACTGTGCGGAAGCAGATGGCCCGTGGGCATGGAAGATGCTATGGTTGAGGGTCATGGGAGTTGTAGTATTCCTTCTGCTGCTTACATTGCGGAAAGGTGGGAACTAAAGTCTAGAAAGGTGGAAGAAGTTGCGGAAGGCTGGAGAAGTTGCCGCCAGCGAAGAGAGCCTGCGGGGCCCTCTCAGGGTTTGTGAAGCGGCTGATTGTCGGAGGCAGTTGGAGCGGGGCCTAGGTCACTGGCGCCGGCTGTGTGTCTTTGCTCCCGGAGCTTGGCCAGTCACGCCTCTTCTAGGTTCCAGCCTGATCTGTGTGCCCCGGACCTGCGGCGATTCATCGATGGTCCAAACCGGGCTGTGGGCCTGCCTCCCGAGCTCCGGGAGGTCGTTTCCTCCATCAGCTACATAGCTCGACAGCTGCAGCAACAGGAGGACCACGATGCCGTAAGTCCGATGAGGGTGGGGCGGGGCAGGGCTTCGGTGACCTTGGCCCCGCCCGCGGCCTCAGGCTCCGCCCCTAACACTTGCCGTCGTCTCTGACTGGGAGTTTGCCCCATCGGGTCCTGTCCTCTGCTCTCTGACTGGCTCTTTCCTCCCTCCGTCACCCGCAGTCTCTCGGGTTGCCCGGCCCACTCTTGCCTCAGACCCTCGGTAGGACCACCCCGGCGCGGGGTACGGAGTCGTGGGGCGGTCTTCCCCGGGGGGTCTGGGCCCAGAGCTCAGGAAGTGTCCTCTGCCTACCCCCAGCTGAAGGAGGACTGGCAGTTTGTGGCCATGGTAGTAGACCGCCTTTTCCTGTGGACCTTCATCATCTTCACGACTGTCGGGACTCTTGTCATCTTCCTGGACGCCACATACCACTTGCCCCCTCCCCACCCCTTTCCTTGAAGACTGGAGGACAGAGCCCATGTCCTCGGCCAGCTGAAGTAAGAGTTCGGCGGTACTCTCAAGCCCTATCTTTCTCTGCCTTTTAACTCCTGCACTAGAAATCCAGCCCTCTTATTTCGTTTCTGGGGAGGGGGCTGAAGAGGCACTGAGGGCTGGGCAGACGTGTGCCTTGAACCCACCTGAGATGCACCATCGGCTTCTTTACTTCTTGGGTTTTGAAGAAGCGCCTTTGAATATCAACACCTAGGTCACCAATTAAATAGAACAAAAACCAAGAACTAGATTGTAAGCCTTAGAAGGGCAGGAAATGTGTATTGTTCACTGTAGTATTGTGTTCACTGCAGCACCTTGCACAGGTCCCGACCTATAGTAAGTGCTTGACTCTTGTTGAATAGAGAGAAAATTTCAGAAAGGAAATACACCAATTAATTGTGCTATGTTTTCATGTTGTGCTAATGGTCATTTTTTCTGTTTTTACCTTTCTGCAATTTATATTTTGCAATGAGTACTATCTTTAGGATGAAAAAAAAAAAAGGTTATTTCTGAAAGTATCTATGTGTAATGAGAAAAAGAAAAAAACATTTTAAAGACCTCCATTCAAGTTTCAGCTTTGGTGCTCAAACCTTTGACAAGCTACTAACCTGCTCTGTACCTCAATTTCCACATCTATGAAATGAACCTTATAACAGTATATGCCCCAAAGGGTTGTTAGAGGATCATTTCAGAAGATGGGAACAAGGGCCGGCCCGGTGGCGCACTGCTACAGTGCGCCGCTTGGGAGCGTGGCGGCGCTCCCGCCGAGGGTTCGGATCCCACATACAGACCGGTTCCTGCTCACTGGCTGAGCGAGGTGCGGGCGCGACACTGAGGGTTGCGATCCGTTGCCGGACACGAAAAAAGACAAAAAAAAAAAAAAAAAGGAAAAAAAAAACCAACAAATTGTTAGGCTTTATTTGGGCCAGCCCGTGGCTCAATTGAGAGAGTGCGGTGCTGATAACACCAAGGCCACAGGTTCGGATCCGATATAGGGATGGCTGGTTAGCTCACTTCAGAGCGCGTGGTGCTGACAACACCAAGCCAAGGGTTAAGATCCCCTTACCAGTCATCTATAAAAAAAAAAAAAAAAAAAAAGGAAAAAAAAAACCAACAAATTGTTAGGCTTTATTTGGGCCAGCCCGTGGCTCAATTGAGAGAGTGCGGTGCTGATAACACCAAGGCCACAGGTTCGGATCCGATATAGGGATGGCTGGTTAGCTCACTTCAGAGCGCGTGGTGCTGACAACACCAAGCCAAGGGTTAAGATCCCCTTACCAGTCATCTATAAAAAAAAAAAAAAAAAAAAAGGAAAAAAAAAACCAACAAATTGTTAGGCTTTATTTGGGCCAGCCCGTGGCTCAATTGAGAGAGTGCGGTGCTGATAACACCAAGGCCACAGGTTCGGATCCGATATAGGGATGGCTGGTTAGCTCACTTCAGAGCGCGTGGTGCTGACAACACCAAGCCAAGGGTTAAGATCCCCTTACCAGTCATCTATAAAAAAAAAAAAAAAAAAAAAGGAAAAAAAAAACCAACAAATTGTTAGGCTTTATTTGGGCCAGCCCGTGGCTCAATTGAGAGAGTGCGGTGCTGATAACACCAAGGCCACAGGTTCGGATCCGATATAGGGATGGCTGGTTAGCTCACTTCAGAGCGCGTGGTGCTGACAACACCAAGCCAAGGGTTAAGATCCCCTTACCAGTCATCTATAAAAAAAAAAAAAAAAAAAAAGGAAAAAAAAAACCAACAAATTGTTAGGCTTTATTTGGGCCAGCCCGTGGCTCAATTGAGAGAGTGCGGTGCTGATAACACCAAGGCCACAGGTTCGGATCCGATATAGGGATGGCTGGTTAGCTCACTTCAGAGCGCGTGGTGCTGACAACACCAAGCCAAGGGTTAAGATCCCCTTACCAGTCATCTATAAAAAAAAAAAAAAAAAAAAAAAATTCGGATATTTCTGGGGGGCTATCTGGTTAGCTTAGTTGTTTAGCATGCAGTGTTGTAAAACCAAGGTCCAGGGTTCAGATCCCTGTATTGGCCAGCTGCCAAAAAAAAAGGATATTTCACAGAGAAATTTGGATTTCTGGCTTTTCTTTCTTCTTCTTCTTTTTTTAATCCCTATATAGGCCATCCCTATACAGGGATCTGAACCCATGGCCTTGGTGTTATCAGCACGACACTCTCCTAAGTGAGCCACGGGCCAGCCCTGATTTCTGTCTTTTCTTGAAAAAAAAAAAAAGTTTTAAAAGCTTTAGTAACACCAGGCCTGATTCCCCTGTTGGCAGCAACTTGTTAGAGCTGATTAGCGGCTGCCCACTCTAGTCAAGGTATTTGTGCCAGAATTCCTCAGAGCCCCCATCCATCTGACCAGCTTCACTCATTTTACCTACCCATCCCTCTATCACATTACAAGAGATACAGAGGAGGGGAGTTGAAGCTAATGGGGAGGCTAGGAGTGGAAAAAGAAAGGTCATGTCTCTAATGGCCATCACTCACCTCATGCCTCAGTTTCCTCTCAATTTGGAGAAAGAGTTGGACCCGGTTTAAGGTAAGACCATTCTGGGACATAGAGATCTTTGGCCCAGCACTTGTGCACAACAGGCTACGTGAGACGGACTGAGTTAATGTTTCTGCCTGGAGGTCAGACCAAAGTCAGCTTTCACCTAGTGGCTACAGCAATTACAGTGAAGTACTTAGAGTCAACGAGCCCTCATTCCTACTCAGTTGCTGGAAGTTGTTGTCCTAAGAATGAGAATAGGGCTATAACTTCCAGAGATCCCTATGGGACAAGGTTAGCATGTCCCTTTCCCCCAGACCCACCAGCCACGCAAATAATTGCACCTGGCATCCCACTGTGGAGCACAGTTGTCTTGTTGGTTTATTGGCCTAGAGAGTTGGACACACACACAAATGCGGAGATAAATATCGGCCAGTTTCTTTAAATCTGGGTCCTCACTACGTGTAGAGCTAGAGTCTGTAGAATTCTAAGTCCTGCGTGCTGTGGCACAGAACCAGTGGCCCTCCCACTCTGCCATCACCCTTCCTCCCAGGGAACATGGGAAAAGAGGGCACGAACTGACAAGACTTGACCATTTTCAAAAGACGAAATTGCAAAATCCCAAATTTCCAGCATCTGAAACTCACAGTATTCAAAATCCCCAGCTCAAATACATATATTTTAATCTCCATTTTGCCACAATCTCATTTGTTGCCCAGAGCCACCAAATTCTGGAAGCTATTTTCCTTAATCATATTTTCAAAAAAATAAATGCCTACAATCTCAACTCTCCCAAAATGTCCATGATTTTGGAATTTTGAACTATTCTGAAAATCAAATTCCCAGGTCCATCTCAGCCCCTTCCATTCTCCTATGCCTGTTTGCCTCAGAGGAGTACAGGTTAAGGATATAGGGGACTGTCACCACACCTGTCCCCTGCCTCCAGGCCTTCCTCAGTCTCTCTTGTGGTTCCGCTGTATACATAGATATATATAATTTGTGTGTAGATATATATATGTATTCTTTATTATGTATCTTTTCGCAGTTTTTCTAAAGTGCCAGAAACAAGATTTGTGGGAATTTTTAGTGATTTTTTTTCATTTTTTTCCCTGTTTGAAACTTTTTCCCCCTTTAAAAATTGGAACTTGGTACATTCAGTAGGAAATTCTTCACTCGGGTTGTGGCCAAGACCAAGAAAAGTGCAAAGAGACAGAGGAGGAATGAAGGAGTGACTCCTCCGTGGTTAACATTCAGGGAGCCTGTCGAAAACCTCCCCCTTCCTATACGTTGAGGGTAACAGGGGGAAGGAGGATGCTCCTGGCCCTCCCCCAAACTCACCTCCCTCCAAAAGCCGTGATCTTGCCCTCTCTGCCATTGCTGAGAGGGCAGCCATCTTGGCCCCAAAAAACAGTAGCTGGGGAAAGGCTGCCATTTTGATGACAGCAACATTTCCCTTTTAAAACTTCACTCCTCTAATTCCCATTTGTCAGATTTGCTCCCCCAAACTGGCTCTCCCCTTGTGAGCTGGTTTTTTTTTTTTTCCTTGAGGAGGAGGTGGGTGGGATGGGAAATGTTCATCCAATCACAGAGCAGGGAGGCCCAGTTTTAAAAGAGAATTAGGAGCAAACATTTCTTCATCTCCCCCACTGGAAGGAAACATAGGGACCCCTGACCAGGGTTAACTAGTGCAAATTAGGGATTAGGGACTACTTAGGGTCCCTGCACCCCATCCTAGGCTGGGATCTTTGGGTGTGGGGAACTGAGTCAAAGATGGGGTGTAAGGTGCTACTTTGGAGGGAAAGTTGGTGGGGATACCCCAAAGCCCACCAGGAGAGTAAGATGGTTCCCCCAAAACCATCTGGAGTGATCAGTGAGGGAAGCGACACTGGGGAAGATGGGGGTAAAGGTAAGGATGGAAGGTCATGTGCAAATCTTGGGCTTATCCACCCATCCAAACCACATCATTTTTCTGGCTATTTGGTCTGGTCTGGGAGAAACCATCAGGCAAAAAACAAGGAGAAAGTAGGTTCCCTTTTCCATCCCTGGAGCTCTTCCCTCCTTGCCCCCAAATCTGGTTTAGCCCAGAAGAGGCCATGTGTAGAGGCAGGAAGAGGTGTGATCTAATCACCTCTATTGCCTTGGAAGAATCTAGGGCTCACTGGATTTGAGGGGGTCAAGATAGGGCCAAGATTTCCCTGCCCTGGGCTGGGAAAATGCTCAGCCATGGAACGGAGGGGTAGCCCTCCCCCCAGCGCCTCCCGGACCTGGATTGGGAGAGGCCACCTCCAAAGTCTAGGAGTATGGGGAGGAATACGGAAGATCCAAAGGCATGGAAGCCAAGGAAGGCATGGCATCTTAACATGAAGGAAACAGGGACATAGAAACCCACCCTTGGGAAGAACGGAATCCAAAGCCATGCTCCCAGGTCAGTGGGGTCAGGGATCACAATGGTCTGGTCCAGGCCCTGGGCCACAAAGAATGGAATGTGCTAGGAAGCATCTGGGGAAGGGCTTAGAGAAAGTTTCAGAACGAGGGGGGATTATTAGGTGAGAGAGATGGTTTCCCCCTAGGTTTATGAATCAGGGGAGCAGGTTAGACATTCAGAGCTGGTGGGGTCATGAGTAGAGATTCAGATAAGTATATTGCTCAGTTGCCCCAAGGGCTGGAGACGGGATGGGAGTTGGCCCTGCCCCTCACGGAGGCCATTCCCCAGAGGAAGATTGAGAGGGGAACCACCAAAGATCCCTTCCCAGGAGATGGGAAAACTACAATCTCACACAAAGCAGCCTGACCCCTGAGCTCCAGGGCCCCCCAAGTCCCTGCACAGGAGTGTGGAGGGGCTCCCAAGGGGCAGGGAGGCCAGGGAGCTGGTAGTGGTAGGGGTTCAGGGAGGGTAGCATCTGGTGAAAGGGGGATCTGGCCTCAGAGCTCACCCTACATCTCCCTTCTGGGTTCTCTCAACCCCTGCCCTTTCCCCTTCTCCCTTAGGGGGAACTGGTGGAGGAAGAGTTGGGGGGGGTGGAGTCGGGGGGGTAGGGGGTGCTGCTTGAGGATTCACTGTGTAGCCAAAGACCCCTGGTAGGAAGGGAAGGGCCCCCCCACCCTTCTCATCAGGTAGGACCATGTTGAGAGCAACTGGAAGAGCAGCCAAGTTGCTGAAGTTGTAAGGATAGGCGGCAAGGAGCTGGGGGCCGTAGACGAGCGGGTAGGGCTCAGGGTAAAAGGTGACTTTGGCAGCCCCCATCCCCTCCATCCGGTCCCCCTCCCCAGCACCCACTGGCCCCTCACCCCCAGGTTTTCCCCTGCTACCACCAGGTTCCCGGCTGCCCCCAATCAGGGCTAGTGGGAACTCCTGCATAGGCGGGTATGCGTAGCTGCATCCCCCTGCCACCGCCTGGGGCTCCTCACCCCCTGAGATGACAGGGTCCTGGAGTGAGGCGGTCTCAGAAGCTTCCTCAGCAGCAGCACTCCCGCCGCCTGCCTCCCCACTGGATGAGGAGACTTGCATCTCTTGGGGGGCCTCTTCTTTGACCTCCCCGGGCCTGGTGCCAGTGCTGCCTTTGGAATAGGCAATGACAGGTGTGGGGGTGCCCCCGGGCCGCTCAGCAGTGTGCCTCTGCCCATGGCGGCTCAGGGCAGCTGCTGTCTTGCACACCTTGGCGCAGTGGGGGCAGGTGAAGCGGGTGGAAGGCCTCCTTCCAGCCCGGGAGCTGTGGGAGCCCCCACTGTGGGCCTCCTGGTGCTTGTGCAGCTTCCTCAGGGTGGCAAAGGTCTGGGCACAGTCCCCGCAGCGGTGCCTCCGCTCACCACGGGCACGCCCTGCTGGGCCCTCGGCCGCTGGGGTCTCCTCCCAGCTCCTCCGTTCCAGCTTCTGCCTCCAGCGTGGTGGCCGGCGGCCCCGAGGCATCCCACTGCTCCCATTGCCAGCACCACCAGCAGCTCCAGACTTGCGTTTAGGCTTGTATGAGTAGTACGGCCTCCAGAGCTGGTCCTCCCCACCAGCCTTTGACTCCTCCTCGTCCTCCTCTTCCTCTTCCTCGTCTTCCTCCTCTTCATCTTCCTCCTCACTCTCCTCCACCTCCTCTCCGCTCAACTCCCCAGGATGCAGGTCAGTTTCTGAGATACGGCGCTTGACAATGGCCTCCTCCCCGATTCGCACAGTGATCTGACACAGTGGAGGTGGAGCCTGTAGCTGAGAGGGGCCCCGGCCAGGCCCTGCGGGGGTACCCCCACTGCCACCAATCCCACCCACTGGCTTGGCGGTGTAAGTCAGAGTCCTCCCAGCCCGTGGATTTCGGCCCTTGGCCTCCTCCATGGCCGTGGCCGGCCCTGCGGCCGTGGCTGGGCTGACAGCTGTGGCTGGGCTGGTGGGTGTGGCTACAGGCTCAGGGGGAGGAGGTGGGTACTCTCGTTTCTTGGGGGGCCTTGGGGGAGCAGTGTAAGTGATGACCGAGGCAGCCTGGGACCCTCCTGTGTTGGCCGCCCCACTCCCTGCTCCACCATTGCTACTGCCCCCATGGACAATGACAGAGGGAGCTGGGTGAGCAAAAGTGATGACAGAGGGTGGGGGTCCAGGCTCTGGGGCAGGTGGGGGTCCAGGTGGTGGGCTGGCTGGCATTGCTGCAGGGGCCGGTGTGTTGAGGTTTGGAGAAAGGGGGGCCTCGGGGGCTCCCTGGCTGTAGGTCTTGTAGGGCCGCTTGGCTGCCCGCATGGGGAGCAGGCGGTACAGCTTAAGGGTGTTGAGCTTGGGCTTGTAGCCTCCATTGGGTGTCTTCTCACTGGCTAGTAGGCCCGGGCTAATGCCATGGAAGGCTCGCTGGTGGGTCTTCAGGTTATAGTAAGTGACAAAGGTCTCCCAGCAGAAGATGCACTGATACCTGGGCCAGGACAGCAGGGAACAGGACAGAAACAGCCACTTGAGTTAGGGGCCCCTAAGCCAGGGCCTCAGCTTCCCATGACCTCCAGTGCCTTCCACTCAAACCTGTAACTCCCACAGCCACTTGCTCAGCCTCCCTTCCTGCTGCTTGTCTCACCCTGCCAGCTTCAGGAGGGGCACCAGTCCAGCTCAGCACCCCCCACTGGCTGTGAGACTCTAGGCCTCAGCTGTTCCAACTGTGTGCTGGGAATAATCACACATCCTACCTAACTCACAAAGCCTTCCCTGGGAGCACAAATGACAGAATGGGGAAATGATTTATGAACAGGGACACACTATGGAAATACAAGGCACTGTTCTGAATATTATAACTATCCGTGGACATGCCTGCATTTCCATAGTCCTCTCCTGGGAGGGCAACTTTCTCTTTCCTTCTAGGCTGTCCCCACAGCACCAAGCCAGGAGATGGCATGTAGAGGTGCTAATAAACATCAGCTGAAGGAACTGGGGCTGGAGGGAGACAGACGGGTGAGTGGAGGTAGCAGGGGCCAGGGTGTGAGCGGGCCAGTCTCAGGATGACTTCCTAGGCCCCGCACTCTGCCCATTCCCTCCCTTGTCCCTGGGGTCTCTGAGTGCTGCCCGCTGCCCACCCCACCCCACCCCAGCAGCAGGCCACTCACCTGCGCTCCCCGGTGTGCCACACCTCATGCTTGGTGCGGTACTCAGCCAGGGCGAACACCTTCTCGCAGTAGCGGCAGGGGTACTTCCTCCGCCACGAGTGTACGTTGCTGTGCCGCTTCAGGCTGGACAGCGTCACGTAGGAGCGCTCGCAGGCCGCGCACACATACAGAACGTGGCCGCCCACCACCTTCACCACGTGCTCAGGGCCACCTCGGAAGCCCACTGGTGGGGGCACGGCTGAGGCGTCCACTCCCGCAGGACCACCAGGGCCAGAGCCCCCAGCTCCCAGCCCTGCAGACCCCCGAGTACTGCCCCCTCGTTGGCATTGGGCCTCATGGGTCTGCAGCCGCTTGGGATGGATGAAGCTTTTTCCACATCGGGGGCAGGGGAGGGGCCGCCGGGGCAGGGGGGGCTGCGAGTCAGGGGCTTGGGCCTCGGCCCTGTCACCCTCCCACTCCCCAGCTGGCCTAGGCCCAGGCCCAAAGCTGTCCTCTTCAGGCTGTGAGGTGGCCATGGGGACTGGGGCAGGAGGTACCCAGGCATCGCCTCCCTCCCCCAGGCCTTGCAGGCGGGAGATGCCCAGACGCCGCCCCAGAGCTCCAATCTCTGCCACAGCTGCCCCGTCCCCTCCGCCGCCAGGTAGTGCAAGCCGGGCACTATAGATGAAGTTGAGGACATCAGAGAAGGCAGCTGCTGGGACCCCTGGCAGCTCCAGGACCCGGGGTGGGGATGAAGCAGAGGGAGAGGCTGGAGGGGGAGAGGAGGAGGAAGAGGAAGAAGAGGATGAGGAGGAGGAGGAGGAGGAGGATGAAGAGGAGGAGGAGGAGGAGGAAGAAGAGGCAGCTGTGGTGGCAGCAGGGTTGGGAGTCAAGCCCCCAGTAACTGGTGGGAGGGGCAGTGGGGCTGAAGCAAGCAGGGCCTCTCTGAAGAAGGGACTAGAAGCAGCCAGGACACTGCGGTGAGCAGGGAACTTGGTGTCTCCGGCTATGAGGGTGACGTCACAGAAGAGTCCACGAAGCCGCTGCTCATTGAGCTGGCGCAGGACAGCAGGGGCATGGGACGGGTCTGTCACCTCTGCAGGGGGGGGCATGGCGCCGGCCTAGACAGTTGGAGAAGAGGCCAGGGAGAGTCTCAGAGTCTGGGCAGAGGGCAGGGGTGTCTAAACTAAGATCAGGGAAGTGAGCTGGGAGGGGAGCAGAGGCTGCTGGTCAGAAACTAGTAGAAAGCTGAATAACTTTAGGTCACAGAAGTCAGGGGTTAACCCTTAGCTACCCACGTCTGGCCAATGTCCAAGAGAAGTATGTCTAACATCTGGGACTGAAAAGGACAGGGATACCTCAGGTCCTGCTGAAGGCCAAGGGGTCATGACCTCCAAAGTCACAGACTAGAGAGGTAAGCGATGGAATCTCTCTCATTGAAAGGAGGAGGAAGCCCCCACGACGACTGATAACCATTTCACAGACCTCCCCAGCCTAGACAAAATGGCCACCTTTGCTGGCCTGCTGCCTGAGGTCTAATTTCTCCTAGCTGCAGTCCTTTGGGCCCCCTCTCACCTGAGAGCACAGTCAACATGGAGTACAGCACGGGGTGGCTCAGTAAGTCCCTTCTGCCGGGCTTTGTGCTTCTGTGGAGAAAAAGAAACCACGTCAGGTGAACCTAGAGGAAGAGGCAGGAGTTGGTCCTCAGGAGGGGAACTGGGAAGGAAAGGACCCCAGGAAATGGGGAGTGACATAGCTGTCAGTTGGGGTCTGACAGGACACCTGGGCTGTTTTGCAGATCCTGATCCCTCCCAGGAGCCTCTGTCAGGTTGTTTAGCTACGTCCAATCAGACCCAGGAGGTCACACGGATTATTGCCAAGTCTGGTTCTGGTGGCCCAGCGAAGTACAGCAACAAGGTAATTTGCATATTCCCAGTCCACCTCCAAATAATACAGCAGCACAGTTCAATGCCATAGGTTCAGGGAAGCCTGTCAGATCACTCTCAAGTCCCTTTGGCCCAATCTTCAGAGCTAAAAGGAAATCAAAGATTTGCATGTTGTCTTTTATCACAATGGTCTCATCTGCATATCAAAATAGATTGGCATGAGCTTTTTTTACTGGACCAAGCTGCTAGATATTTAAATTAGCAGAGGACCTCTCACACTCCCCCAGCCCATAAATCTTAGAGGGAGTTTCTGGCCCAGGTGCCAGGTGACCACTGAAGACCACTGATGCATACCCAAGTGCCAGCTCACTCCAGTGTCTGGAGGGAACCAGATGGGCCACCATGCTGGGCATGAGAAGGCTTAGGTCCCACTCCTTACTCTGAGACCTGATAGCCTAGGGATTTGGGCTTAAAAAATGGGGAAGAACGCAACCCCTACTTCATCTCTTGCTGGGAGGCTCATCCAAAGGCATAGCAAGCAACCCAAATGCAAGCTACGGCAGTCACCAGCTTAGAAAGCACCTCACAGCCGCTTTTCCCCAGGGCACCGCCAGAGCCTTGGGTTGCCATTTTTCAGTTGAAGATCTGAGTTCCAGAGCCATATAGTAACTTATACAAAGTTATGCAGAGCTGGTTATAACAGGTGGGGCCTGTTTGTCTTTTTTTTTTTTTTTAAAGATGACCGGTATGGGGATCTTAACCCTTGACTTGGTGTTGTCAGCACTACACTCAGCCAGTGAGCGAACCGGCCATCCCTATATGGGATCCGAACCCGGGGCCTTGGTGTTATCAGCACCACACTCTCCCGAGTGAGACACGGGCCGGCCCAGGTGGGGCCTGTTTGCAAATCCAGGCCTGCTAACCTGAGCGTGGAGCTCTTGAGCCCCTCTCATCCACCCTCCAGAAACCTGGGAGGTCTCGCCTCTTTTGCGGGGCAACTTTCTGAATGCCTTGGGTCATGAATGTCCTCAGAAGTATCCTGCATCAGGAGTTCCTCAGACAACTTCCGCCCCTCAAAAATTATTCTTTTCCCCTATATTACTCATACTATCTGGACTAAAAGGCCTCCCCCTTCCAAATACCCCATTTCGTGTTTCCCAGATTATTCTGACTCCTCTCCTGGTCAGAAATGAGGTAAATAGGGGTGATATTCAAAAACTTTATCAACCCTGATTATCAACCCTGACTGCGAGGTACAGACCCAGTACTGGGTCAAGTGTTACCCCATTAGTTGCTGGATTGCAGATAGATCGGGAATCCTGGGGAAGGGGCACTTCCCTGTGCATGAGCTGGTGATCAGGCCTCCCACTCCCTTCCTTGATAGCCACCAGCCCACTGGGACTCCGAGAATCAGTGCTTTATATTATCTCATTTGCTTTTCATTACTACCCTGAGAGGTAGCAGTTAGCTTCCCCACTGTAAAATGCCAGACTAAGGCTCAGAGATACTAGGTAGCTCGCCCAAGGACATATGACCAGTTAGTAGCAGGGCTGGGATCTGATCCCAGAAAGTTTGGCTCCATAGCCTGTGTTCCTGATGACTCCACCACACCATGATGAAGGACACGTTTGCAGCCCCCACCAGGGCATCGCTGGTCCACCTGGTGCCTTTGTGGGGTTGTTGTATATTAAATGAGTTAATAACTGGCAGTACCTAGATCTTGGAACTTGGCCCCAGAAAATGGTGGGGAAGTGGTGAAGAAAAAGAGACAGGAATCGGGCTGCGTGGTAGGTTTGGTGGCTCTGTGGTTTTAACTTTTTTATTTGTTTGTTCTTACCATTTCTTTGCTCTTGACTGCCTGTGTGACCTCAGAGGTGGCACTGAGGTGGAGATCTGAGCACGGTCACCAGATACATTCTACCTTTTGCTGTTCCCTCTTCCTGGAATGTTCTTTCCCCCAGATATCTTCGTGCCTCACTGCCCCACCTCAAGCCTTGACTTAAAAGTCACTTCCCTGGAGGCCTTCCTTGGCCACCCCACACCTCCCAAAACTTCTATCCCCCTAGTTTATTTTTCTCTTTGGCACTTAGTAAAACATATTGCTCATTTATCTCTAGAATGTAAGCTCAGAGGGGGAGGGGAGGGATTTTTGTCTGCTTGGTTCATTGCAGTATCTCCAGATCTTAGAACAGTGCCTAGTACAAAACAGGAGGTTAAAATTTTTTGTTGTTGGGCCGGCCCGGTGGCGCACTGCGCTGGTGCGCCGCTTGGGAAGCGCGGAGGCGCTCCCACCAAGGGTTCGGATCCCACATACAGACCGGTTCCCGCTCACTGGCTGAGCGAGGCGCGGGGGCAGCACCGAGGGTTGCGATCCCGTTGCCGGTCCCGGTCCGGTACGGGGGCGACACTGAGGGTTGCGATCCGTTGCCGGACACGCAAAAAGACAAAAAAAAAAAAAAAAAAAATTTTTTGTTGTTGTTGTTAAATGGATGAACCTGCCCTCAAAGTCTGCTTGGAGTTCGTCCACCCTCAGGAAGGAAGCCATGCTCAGTGTCAGACTGAGTTGGTCAGGAGCTGGGGATGATGAATATAACTTGACCACTTCTGGGGCATTCAGAATTTGCCTGATATGCTTCCATGCATTGCCTCATTTAATGACGTCCTCAAAAGCCACCCACAGCAGGTATCAGATACTCCAAAAAGTCTGTGGAAAAATGGAATTAAAAGATAATACAAGGGCTGGCTGGTTAACTCACTTGGTTAGAGCACGGTGCTGATAACACCAAGTTCAAGGGTTCAAATTCCCGTTCCAGCCAGCCATCAAAAAATATACACATATAAGTCTGGCTGGTTAGCTCAGCTGGTTAGAGCGCAGTGTTATTACTGCAAGGGCAAGGGTTCAGATCCCCATACTGGCCAACTGCCAAAAAAAAAAGGACCAAAAAAACCCCCAAATCTCTCCATGAACTTTTTGCATATTTAGATTATCCCAATTTTACAGACGAGGAAACTGAGGCTCGGAGAGGGATGTACCTTGCTCAAGTCACACAGCTTGTAAGTAGCAGAGTGAAGATTTGAATATAGGCCCAGCTGACCCCAGATGCTAAATCTTTTCCTCTGCCATACTGCTGGATCTTGCCCTGAAGGGGCCTATGGCCAGCCAGCTGGTTACATAAATCACCACACAAGGTCTCACGTGCTAAGTGCTAAATGTGTCATGTCTGACTCCACCCTTTCCCTCGCTCCCACATCCAGCAGTCACCAAGTCTGGCCGAAACTGCAGCAGAGCTTGGGAATGGCTCTGGAAGCTTTCCCTTCAACCCACCTCTGGCCCGCAAACTGCGCAGGTCCTCATTAACACTCACATGGTCCAAGGCCATGGCCTCCTAGCTATCCCCCTCCCTCAAGGCCTACCTGCTGCCCAACCTTAACTCTCCCGCTGACAGTTAATGTCCCTAACCGTAGGAAGCTCAGGTACTATCATTCCTGGGCTCAAAAACTTTCACTGGTCCCCACTGCCTTCAGAATAAAGTTCAAATTCCTCCACCGGCACTCAAGGGCTCTACAATCTTCCTTCGTAATCTTTTTTTTTTTTTTTTTTTTTAAAGATGACCGGTAAGGGGATCTTAACCCTTGACTTGGTGTTGTCAGCACCACGCTCAGCCAGTGAGCCAACCGGCCATCCCTATGTGGGATCCGAACCCGGGGCCTTGGTGTTATCAGCACCGCACTCTCCCGAGTGAGCCACGGGCCGGCCTCTTCCTTCGTAATCTTGCCTTATGTTATTCTTTCTTCAAACACCCAGTGCGTTCGCCAACCTCCACATGTCCCACACCTTCATGCCTTTGTCAATGCTGAGTTTCCTGTCAGAAATGCCCTTTCCCCAAGCTCTTCTCAAAATCCCTCCAAAAATGTTAAGATCTAACTCAAATGCCACCTCCTTCTTGGCCCTCCCTGACTCACAGAACAAGGACAATCTGTCCTTCCTCTGACTCATCAACATTTTGTGCCCCTAAGGCCAGCATCCACATTATACAGCAGCAGAGATTTAGGTTCTCATGCCTGAGGCCGGGACTCCCTGAGCACTGCTGCAGCATTCAGGCCTTCTGAAATGGACTGGTGCAGGTGCTAAGTGCCCCAGAAATGGGGGAGAAGTGTGTATGTGTGCGTGAAATGCAAAGAGAGATCCACTGAATGCTCCAGAAGGGCAGCAGAGTACAGCAGTTAAAAGCATAGATCTGGAACCTGAATGCCTGGGTTCAAATACAGCTTTATCTCTTACTAATTAAAAGTGACTTTGGGCAAATTACTTAACTTCTTTGGGCTTCAGTTGCCTTGCCTGAAAAAGAAAGGTAATTAGAGCACCTACTTCTGGTGTGGTTGAGGACTAACTGGGTGATTATATGTAAAAGTACTGAGAGCAGTGCCTGGTACACAGTCAGTGCTAAATAAGTGTTTACTGCTATTGCTCTCAGCAAAGCCCCAAGCAGGGGATTCTCAGTGCTTGCAGAGCGCTGCTAGGCTGGCACAGGCACAGCCCCCAAACCGTAGCTACTTTCCAGGTCCGTTTCCCTTGTGCTGATGGAAGACAGGGAGGGCAAGTAATGAGCCTCAATTTACAGACGAAGAACTGAGGTTCACTCAGGGAAGGTGCCAGTGAGGAACTGGTAGAACGGCCAGAACTCCTCAGTTCTAGTCTAGGGCTCCTTCTCCTTCACCAGGCCGCAGTCATGCACCTGTTGTGCAGGCCTCACACAGCAGCCAGCCCCCTCCCCGTCCCCCAAGCCAGAGGGCCTGGCCATAGTGCCCTCTCATCGTCCTTGTATATACATCCTCGCAGCCAGGCCAGCGCAGTACACAGTGGTGTGCATGCTCGGAGTGTGCACACACACACACACACACACACACACACACACACACACACACACACCTCTACAGAAGGGCCCAGGCCCCAAAGGTGAGGAAAACCTGTTCTGAGGAATCTGCCTAGTGAGCAAATTCCGTTCAAGGCCCTTCCACAGTCACAGGAGTGGGGCCCAGTGTGCGTCAGAGATACCCGCAAGGGGGGCAGAGAGAAACAGGGCGAAGCTGGGGGAGGAGACTGAAAACTTCACGTTTCTTTTTTCCATTTTAGTGACAAGAGTCACACCCGACCTTTACATAAACATGGCCAAGGAGCCATTCTGTCTAAGCTCACTTCCCTTGCAGCCGCCCAACCTCTCCTCCCGGTGACCCTGACACACCAGGCGGGCCGGTGAGGGGCAAGCACACTGATCCTGCAAGAGACTAGGCAGGCCACCCTGACACCACCCATGCCTCCCGCCTGCTGCCCCTACTCTGCCCCATATTTATCTCCCCGCTTTCCTCATAGCACATCCCCACAGCAGCCCCACACTGCCACTTAAGCACACAGAAGACAGGCACGCACACGCAGCCTGCGGCTGGGCTCTTGGGTCTGAGGCCCACACTGCCCTTGACACGCCACCTCCCTCCCCACGAGTGTTTTCTGACCAGCTCGTCTCCCAGCCCAACAGCCCAGACAGGCTCCCACAAACAACGTCACAAAAGAATCCCGTGGAGAATGTTGCAAACACACAACCTTCCCCTTGCTTGGCTGCCCACGATCCCATAAACACAACTGGCACATCCCACCCAGAACCCCTCACCCCAGTGCCAGCTGACCCACAGGCACTGAGACACACCCTGGGGATTCTCATTCCCCTTGTGATTGGTGGGATCTGAGTTCTAGATGTGCAACCCCATGCAACTTGCTCATCAGACACCCAAGCCCATCCATCGGCCTGTCCTCACCACGATTGGACCACACCTCAGCAGGAACCCAGATGTGACACCTTGTGACTCAAAGGTTCAAAACCACCCCCTCCAGACGGGCAAATACACCCTGCATTCTGGTGCCCTCCGCAACACTCACACCACACCAGCTATGCAGAAAGCAACAGTTCATACACAGTTCATATGTGCAGCACTAGACATACGTGCAAGAAAACACATGCTGGTAGAAAACATACACACAACCCCACATGGAACTAACTCCGAACTCAGCATATTGTGCCCTGCTTAGAATGCCCATCTGTCACCCAAAGCCACAGGGCCACATCTTGTAATTCTGCCCCACAACATCGGACACCCTTCCTGGCTTTCTACCTCCATAGCCCAGGGAGGGCCCCACCCGGACCCCTGACTGCCAGACTAGCAAACGGTGGTGCCCAGGAGAGGTTTACCTTGTCCCACGACCAGAGCACGAGACACAAAATCGCCAAGACCCACAGTCACAACCCTGCCCCGACGGCGCGGCGGTTCCGGGGCCCCCGGTCGCCCTGCGCACCCTGCACACCCCAACTCTGGGGCGCTCGGCGGCCCACCCCTCCCCCTCTCTGCCTGGCTCCTACGCCATCGCCCTCCCAGCAGCTTGCAGAGCTTGCCCGGGCTCACACCCGCCCCACCCCACCCCCAACCTGCCCCACGGGGGGAGGGCGACAGTAGGATGCAGAATTAACCCTTCAAGGGGGGGTGTGAGCGCGGCCCATTCCACGCCCCCAGGTATCACGTCCCTCGGCCGCCGCTCGCTCGGACGCCATGCCGGGGCCCCCTTAGTCGCCCCCCAGCTCCGTGCGCGCCCGGAGGCGGGGCCAGGCTCAGCCCCAGACCCCTGAGCCCCCAGGTCAACCCCAGAGGGGAGCTGTCGGGGCGCAGGGCGCGGCCCGGGCCCCCGCGGCTCCGGGCAGCGGGAAGGGGGCCCGGCAGTTGGCTCCGGTCCG